GTTGCGGTTGGGCGTCCTGTGCTCTCGGCCGATGCGGAACCCTCCTCGGAAGGGGGCGCCCCTCACCCCTTCTGCCCTCCCGGCTGTCCGGAGGGCTGAGGTGCCCGGCGGAAGCGGCCGGCGTTGGTTTGGCTGAGAGCAGTTGGGCTCGGAAAGGGGCCTGCCCGCCGCCGGCAGGTTTCCGCGCAGCGCGCGGCTCTTAGTAGGGCTGGGGACACGCGGTTTGTTTATCCTGTTGGAGGGGGACCGTGCGGTTGCCAAAAATAATTGTTTGCACCGGCTTATCAGTCAGCAGGGGGGAACTTCGCCCTTTCTCACTTTTCTGGGATGTGACACAGGACACTTTGGCGAGTCGCAGGCCCGGTGACTCCTGAGAAGGGGGTCAACTTGTGACCCCGCAAACTTTTTACACGTATTTTTTCAGGCATCCGTCTGCCCCTTGACATCCCAGAGATGGTGGGGTCTGTGTGCAGACCCCACCGCCGCCAGGACAGTGGGAGCCCTGCCTCCATCTCTCTTGCTGGTTTCAGGAGGGGCCACCCATCCTTATCGCTGCTGCCCTGCCCGAGCCGAGGGGTTTATCTCACGGGCCAGGCGGCAGCGGGACTGGCTGGTGACCTTGGCCGGTACTGGGAGTGCTGCTCCCAGATCCACTTTCATTCCCTCCTCCTGGCCCCCCTGCTCTCATGCAGTGTGACAGCGTGCTGCCCAGCTGTTTTTGCCTGCTCTGGGCTGCCTAGGGTGGTCAAGTCGGGGAGCAGGGTGCTGAGACCTGATTGGCTGTGGTCAGTGCCCCAGCTGTGGACCCCCGGCGAAGGTGGGGCCAGGCGCCCCAGGGCCAGTTGTTCAGTTCTCTGTGCCCGTCTCTTACCTGCAGGGTGGGGGTGGGGCAGGGGCCACCGGTGTCCTGGGGAGACAGGCCAGGGGACAGCGGGTGCCCTCCTGTGGGCCAAGCGAGGCCATGCCTCTCATCAGATCCCCACTCCCTGCTTCTAAGTCACATTTTCTCATTAAGGCAGAAGCGTGTGGGGGAGACGTGGCCCTCGGGATGCCAGTTGGCCGTTAATCCGGGTTGGGCCCCCCCACTCTCCAGGGCTGGTCCTCGTCCTCCTGGCTCCTCTTAGGCCTCATCCCTGGATCTGTCCAGGGAACGCAGTGCTGTGCTCTTGCAGAATGGATGCACCCTCCCTCCGCCTGAGGTCAGCCTGGGTCCATGGAGGTGTTCTGGTGCCGGTGCTTTACGCTGGGCTGCTTTGGCACCCCAGGCCCCAGCCTCTTGGGAGTAGCACCCCGAGGTAGGAGGGGTTCCCAGAGTCCGTCCCCAAGGGGCCAGGCTGCTTTCCAGCCCCAACTGATCTGTCTGGCTAGAGTCGCCCAAGCCCACCCTGCTGGCCATCCCTGGGGCTTCAGGGAGTGCATGCGTCCAGGGGCGTGGACTGGGGGCAGCAGAGCTGAGTGGGTCCCAGCACATCCGCAGACGCGATGGAGGTGTCGAGCGCCCACTTCTGCCAAAGCATGATGTACACGTGATAAAGGCCCTTCCCACATGCAAATGCACATGCTCAAGGTCAAGTTAGGGGACGTTCATTCACCACCCAAAGCGTACCCTCGTGCTCTGCTGCCCCACTGGAGGGTCGCAGCCTGCTGGCTCCCAGTCCTCGTTTCCTGAGCGGTCAGCCACGATCCCAGGAGCTGTGGAGACACAGTGTCCATCCGAAGAACCAGAGGGGAAACTGAGGCCCAGGAGGCAGAGTGGTTGGCGGTCCACAGCCGGCCTGGCAGTCAACACGAGGTGTCACAGCTGCAGGGCCTGGGCCGGTTCCTCCAGCTTAGCCCTAGAAGCGCAGGTCTTCACCTCTCTGAGGCCCCTTGGAGCGCAGCGCTGGCCCCGTGCGTTCACCTGCCGTCTGCAGCGTGTGGCGTGAGGACCTGCTGGGTATGCGGCTGCGGGTTAAAACCCACCGCGCCTCCTTCCTTGGGCGCTGTGAGGGGGCGCGCCCTGCTCGGAGGCACCCTGTCCCCTTGTTCTGAGTCCTGACAGAGTGCCCCGGGTTGGAGGCCGGAGGAGGTGAGGCCCTGGGCTCAAGCAAGGGCTGGGTGTCCACTCCCCGGCCCAGAGATCCAGGCTTCTGGGTCAGCCTTGCCGCCAGGCGGCTGCAGGGAAAAAAGGCTCCTTTGTCTTGGAGAGACTTAATGAACTCAACTCCAGACTCTTCTCTTGGAGTGAAGCATCCAGAATTTTCCAGAGAAGCCTCAAGAGTCCTCCAGCTCCAGTTGGGATGGGAAGCTTTTCCTTAAAGAATGCACTTTGTGTTAAAGGAGGTCCTCCCCGCTTGTGGCTCTTCCCAGGAGGGCTGCTGTGGGTCTGTGCTTGTCCCCCTCTTGCTCACAAAGACTAATTTGCTCTTATTGTAAAACACAAAAGTTCTGAAAACCACCGAGAAGTAAGACAGAAATTACTCATTGTTTTAATACTAATGCCTTTGCCACGCTCCCTTCGAGCCTTTGTTTAGCATGTTTTCGTCACCTATCCAAGCACTTTTTAATGAAAAATTAAACTCCCCTAAAGATCATTTTCAACAGTAAGTTGTACCTGCTTGCTTTCCCGGTTGGCAGCAGAAGCCGCGCTGGCGCCTCCCTGGCTGGGGGCAGCCGTGGGGTTTCGCACCCATACAGACGGTGGGCACACGCCCCTCTGACGCAACCCCCCGGGGAAGTTGGGTGGCAGATGGGCCCCGCTCACGGGATTCTCACCTGTCCCAAGATACTGTTCTTTGTGGGCTTTCATCAGCTGTTTAGAAGCGTACAGCGGCCAGGGCAGTCTGTGTGCCCCATGGCCCGTCTGTGTGAGGCAGGTCAGGGTCTGTACCCAGTGTGTGCGGGGTGCGGGCACTTAGCCGTGCGGGGCCGGCGCTGGGCGGCTCGCGGCCCTGCCAGCCTCCTTCATCGGCGTCCCTGCCCGTGTGGCTGGGTCCCAGCAGGCCGACGCCAGTCTCTAGGCTGGGCCTCCCTTGGCCAGGCCAGTAGCGACTGGCAGGTACTTAAACCTGGGGGGTGAGTGGTTGGGATTTTAGCACGTACAGCAGAGCCTGGACTTTGCTGGCCTTTGTTCCCGTCCTGAGTGGCCTCTGCCAGGTCCTGGCATCTGCTGGGCACCTGCCCCCCACCCCCCCATTGGGAAGGATTCTGCCGTGAGGCCAGGCTGGCAGCGATAGGGCACGGCTGGTCCACTGAGGCGCCCCGCACTGAACGTCCTCGCGGCCTCCCTGTCTGGTCCTTCCCTGGCCAAGGGGTGTGACTGTGAGGTGCAGTGGGAGCTCAGGGGCCATTGGGATACACCCCAGGCTGTGGCGCAGGGGGTGGGGGGGGACACTGGCTCCTCACTCAGGAGTGTGTTGGGAATCACATCAAAGCTGCCCTTTATCCCATGTTGACCTCATGCTGCACGGCGATTCGTTCTTTTACACGGCGATTCGTTCTTTTAACGGCTTTAATGAGACATAATTTACGTGACGTAAAATTCAACTATTAGCAGGTAACTCAGTGTCGTTTAGTATTTTCAGAGAGTGTAACCATAACCTCTAATTCCAGGACATCCCTCCCATCCCCTCAACAGGAACCCCGCCCCCATCAGCATTCACTCCCCCAGCCCCTGACAGCCAGGAACCCACTCCCTGTCTCTATGGATCTGCCTGTTCTGGACGTTTCCCACCAGTGGAATCACACACCGTGGGTCCTTCTGTGTCTGGCTTCTCTCACTGAGCATCGTGTTCTCAGGGTCCATCCACGTGGTAGTGAGTGTCAGTGCTTCACCCCTTTTCAGGTGATGTTCCCGGGTGTGGAGGGACGTGGTGTATCCACTCAACCGTCAGTGGACATTTGGGTTGTCCCCACTTGGTGCCCGTTAGGAATTGTGTTTCTGGGAAGCTGCGTGAGCGAGTGTTTGTGTTGAACTTCACTTTTAGTGAATTCCTCCTCATTTTAGTCTCTCTCCCGGATCCCCGATGGCCTCTTGCCATATGATTAGAAGCATCAGCAGAGAGGCCAAGGGGTGAGGGGGGTCTTGCTCAGTGTCCCTCGTCCAGAGCTGCCATCGTCCCCTCCCCTGCTCTCTGTGGACCCATGCCTGTCACCATCCCCGTCTGGAGGGAAAGAGGTGGGTGCATCCCCGGCGGCTGTGGGATGGGTGACCGTGGTGGCAGCTCCTTTCCATTCCTCTGTGAGCTCCAGGGGCTCTTCCGTTTCCCTCCTGGGTAGTCAGCGAGTCCATCCCCAGCAGCCCACTCTGCTCAGGCGGCACTGCAGGCAGGTCCCTGTGACACCCGCCCTGAGCAGCTGCGGCCGGGCCGGAAGGCTCAGCTTCCTGTCACTTTACTTCCTGCATCCTGGCTGAGCGCCTGGCTTTTCCTCTTTCTTTAAATACTGTTTTTCTATTTTTCCGGTCAGTGGTGTGCTTTGTAGGAGACGGAGAACTCAGAGAAGGTGTAGCAGCTCCTCCCTGGCCGGGTCTCTGCAGTGAATGTCTCGGGGGTCCTCCACACCCATTTTACCCGCTCGGAGCGCACATCTCCATGCCACCTGTGGGTGTGGTTCTCCTCTTTCGGAGGAGCTGGACACTGTAGCCACTTCTCTGGTATCCATACTGGAACTTACACATTTTTCTCCAGGAGGTTTCCATCACGGTTAACTGACCACATGAGCGCTTGACGCACCCACAGCGCGGGGACCTCCCTTCAGGGCTGGCTTTGTCGGCATCGGAGTAGGGGGTGAGCTGTTTAATTGTGGAGGGAGGGGTGCTGCCGTCCGCCTCCTCCCGCACAGAAGTTTGCCCCAAAGGCAGTGGGCGGATGGGGAGGTGCGGCCCGGAAGATGGTTCCAGGCCCAGGTATCTCACGGCACAGAAGGCAGAGCCATGGGGCTTGTCCTCGCTTTGGAAGGCCTGGGGTGAGCTCCCCGGGGCCCCTGGACTAGCCGCGGGCCCCCCTCCCAGAGCTGCCACGCGTGTTATTGGCAGCCTGTGTCTGAGTTCAGGCGGGTTCCCACACTTGGGTCGGCAGACGCTGCTTGAAGCCTGGCTGTAAGCGCTCCAGGTGGTGGCCACGTGTTGGCTCCAGGTACGAAGGGCCTTCTGGTGTCCACACGTGTGGTTTAGTTAGCCGCTGCAGCGCCTCTGGATGGAGACGAGAGGGAGAGTGCCCAGAGCCAGCTTCCCGGGGAGGCTGGCACAGGATCAGAGTCTGCGCTGGGCCCTCCCTCAGCCCCCCCGGAGCCAGCTTCCCAGGGAGGCTGGCACAGGGTCAGAGTCTGCGCTGGGCACCCCCCTCAGCCCCCCCCAGCTTGTAGCTCGCGACAGCTTGCTCCCCACGTGACACCCTTCCCTTCTGGGCCGCAGACCCCATGGCGGCTCTGGCCAGGTAGCTCAGCGGGTACTTGGCTGGCTGGGTGGACGGCAGGTGCCAAACACTGGTCTCTGAGGGGAGCCGGCTCTGCACCTGCCCCTGGAACCCCTGCCCCTGGGACCCCTGCGAGGAGGAGTTCTATACTCAGTCCTGGCAGGGACCCCAAAGGCCTGGTCACCACTGTCATGACAAAGGCTGCTGTGCCGTGTGGCCCGGGGCGGCCACCAGCCCTCGACTGTCAGAAAGGGAGGGGACTTGCCCGCGGGGGAGGGTCCTTGAGTCAGCAGAGCTGAGCTCTGGCCCCGGAGAGCTGGCAGCAAGCAAGGCTGGGAGTCAGAGCTGTGGGGTGGTCTGGGCGAGAGCGGGAAGGACGCCTGGGGGCACAGCGCCGCTCCCTGACAAGTGGTGGTGGACCCGGAGCGTCAGAGGTGCACCCAAGCCCCCACGGACAGGGCACCCACCTGACCGGGGCCTGACCCACAGGGGCCTGGTAAGGTCCGTCCGTTGCAAGACTGAGTGAGTGAGTGAGATCTGGGGGACCAGCACTGGGGCCCGAGGTGGGAAGGTTCAGGGAGCACTTGCCAGAGGTCAAGAGGGGCTCACAGGCCAGAAGGGGCGGTACAGGGTCTGCTCCCCACACCCCAGAACGTTCCTGGTCCTTTATAGCAGGACTGTCACCTGGGCCGTCTTGCCCCCAGGGATACCTGGCGATACCTGGGGACATCTGTGGTTGTCACGATGAGGGAGGGGGGCTCCTGGCATCAAAGGGGTGGAGGTCAGATGCTGCTCCACACCCCATAGAGCCCAGGACACGCCAACGTCACAGTGCTGAGGCGGAGCTACTGTGTGTCATTTATTTGGGGGAAAATTGAGTGTGATCCCTGTTCACACTGGACACCAGGATAAATCCCAAAGGTCAGGCGGTGTAAACCAGGGTGACCCCAACGTCTGTGAGTCTCCTCCCCTCTCTCCCACTCAGGTGTGGATTGAAATGTGTGCAGCATCCCAGACCTCAGAGGTCAGGTGGTTAGGGATAAGCGCGGAATGATGGGGGGAATGAGGGCAGAGTTACTGCTGCGCCCCGCAACCCTCTGGTGAGGGTGGGAGTGGGGTGGGGGGCAGGCCAGGCAGGCAGTGAGCTCACGGGAAGCAGCTGTAAAGCTGTGTTTCCTCCAGCAAGTCGGTGGCCTCCTGTGCTATGGGTCTGGGGAGTGGGTGCTACACAGAAATGCTGTTTCCGGGGCACCCTCCCTTCAGAGGCTGCATGAGTGCCGGGCCAGGGAATCTGCATGGGAGGAGGACCTACGCTGGGGAGGGTGGGTGGTGTCGAAGGCACAGGATCCGTGCTGGTGTGCGAGGGTGGGGTGTGGTCAGGAACGGCTTCCTGGAATAGGCGACCTCTTCATGGAATGTGGACAGTGGGAGGCATGCGCCTCGGGTCTCATGACGTTGGGGACCCCTCACCTGCCCGGCTGGTCTTATGTTTCATGGTTGGGCTTCCCGGTGAGGACTTTAAAAAATCTTTATTGACGTATTATTCACATACCATGCAATTCGGTGGCATTTAGTATCTTCGTAGCAACTCTCATCTTTGTCTAGTTCCAGAACATTCCGTTACCCCAAAAGGAAGTCCTGTCCTCATCAGTCACCCCATCCCATCCCCAGTCCCTGACAACCAGGAACCCACTCTCTGTCTGTAGACTGGCCTGTTCTGGACGTTGCCCATCAATGGAATCACACACTGTGTGTCCTTCTGTGTCTGGCTTCTCTCACTGAGCATCGTGTTCTCGGGGTCTGTCCACGCTGTAGCGAGTGTCAGGGCTTTCACCTCTTCTCAGGGTTGAGTGATGTTCCCATGTGTGGAGGGACACTGGAGTTGTATCCGCCCTTGGGCTCCCGTGGACAGTGCTGCCATGAGCACGTGTGACCGGGTCGCCGTGCTCTCGGTCCTCCCGGGCACGTGCCCTGATTGGAGGTGCTGGGTCAGTTGGTGACTGTTCAACCTTCTGCGGAGCTGCCCGCCCCCCCCCCCGCCCCCAGCTCCTGCAGGGAGTCCTCGTGGAGCTGCCCTGAGAGCGGCGGGGAGCCTGGGCTTCAGTTCCAGAGGGAAGAGTGGGTGGGGGGATGCGGGGACCTGGCTGGAGCCCCAACTCCCGCGTGCTCTCCTGCTGTCCTCGCGCGGCCTTCGCTGTGGTCTCTGTGCGTCTTCAGTTAAAATGCGGGTACGGGGCCTGGTCGTGTTGCTGGGCTCGGGGACATGCCCAGGACTAGCTGCCCCTGTGCGGAGCTGCTCACTCCGGTGCTGCCCTCTGCACGGTTCCTGGGGGCTGGCGGCACTGCCGGGCCAAGGGGCTTGGCTGACGCCTCCGTCCTCTGTCTTCAGGGAAATCCAGCTGCTGAGGAGGTTACGGCACAAAAACGTCATCCAGCTGGTGGACGTGCTGTACAACGAGGAGAAGCAGAAGATATATCCTTTTGGGGCTCGGGGTGCCAGGTGTTCCCTGAGCGCTGCCGACCTTGGGGCTGGGGCCCCTCTCCAGTGAGTGCCCACGGGGGGCGCTGCAGGATGCAGGCTGGTTCTCTGCTTAGATTTCCTGTTCTCATGTGGAGCTGGGGCCCTGCTGTCAGCCTGGTCCCAGGAGCGAGACGCTTTCCTGGCTTCTGTTTGGGGGGCTGTGCGCCCTGGCCTGTGGCGGATGCATGGGGGAAGGGATGGGGAGTGTGTCACTGCGGCAGTGGTGTACTGGGAGTGTCCTCGGCCTTCGCCCTTTACTCCTGGGCTGCAGCTCCGAGAAGCAGGGTATAGGGGCCCCAGGGCCTGCTGAGGGGCCTGTGTCGCAGAGGGGCCTGTCACTGACTCGCTGGATGCAGGGTGATGGGGGTCCTCTCCATCCTAGTCGCAGGGCTGCCCCTCCACGGTGTAGATGCGGCTGGGGGGCTTCAGCCTGGCCCTGGGCTCCCCACCCCTGCTCCGCAGCCCCACCCCTGTGCTGCCCTCGTCTCTCCCTGGCCTCCCGCCCCTGCTCAGGCCTTCTCTCCACAGGGCCAGCACGCCCCTCCTCGCTCCTTTGGGGGCCAGGGCTGGGGCTTGAGCTCCTCCTTGGGGTGTGGAATGACCGGGGGGCTTCCTGCAGCACCTGTGATCCCTCTGGGGTCTCCAGCTCACTGCACTAGTGCAGCCTTCACCCCCTGGCATCTGTTCCCTGGGGATGGCCCATCTGGGGCAGAGGCTTGGCTGAGCGTGCCTTCCTTAGCACTGCCGCACGTATATGGTGATGGAGTACTGCGTGTGCGGCATGCAGGAGATGCTGGACAGCGTGCCCGAGAAGCGCTTCCCCGTGTGCCAGGCCCACGGGTGAGCGTGCGGACCCCACTGCTGCCCCCTCCGCCCCCGCCCGGTCACTCACGGGTCCAAGCTCCTCTCTGTGCACCTCCCTGCCCCACTGTGGCCGCCACCGAGGCTTTGGGGCCTCCTGTGCTTGGGAAGCTGCTGACAGCGGCCTGTACTGCCCCGGCTGGCTAGTTCTCCTGGGCAGTCAACCCCTAACACCCAATTGCTGTAGGACCAGCTGGCCTGTGGTGTGAGGGGTCAGTGGGTTGGCCTGGGTCCCTGGCCCCAGGGGGGACGGGGGGCAGCAGGGCTGTATCCAGGCCACAGAGGTTGGGATGATAGCAGGGCCCCTGGGCTGCCCAGGCTGGGGGGGCAGCTGGGGCAGGTGCCCGTGGTGGGAGCTACTGCAGCGGGGGCCCAGGAGTGGCTCAGCCCAGCCACTGGCCCTCTGGTTCCCTGATGGGCTGCCCGGCACCGACGGCCCCTGAGCCTCGGCCTCCCATCCTTGGTCCCGCTGGGTCGCTGCAGGCAGCTGTTCCAGGCAGCTGAGGTTCCCGACAGGTGGGGCCGCGCCTCTTGGTGCGGTGGGTCACAGAGGCTGTGCCCTGCAGGTACTTCTGCCAGCTGGTGGACGGCCTGGAGTACCTGCACAGCCAGGGCATCGTGCACAAGGACATCAAGCCCGGCAACCTGCTGCTCACCACGGGTGGCACGCTCAAGATCTCCGACCTGGGCGTGGCCGAGGTAGGTGCCCCCCACCCCCAAGCCAGACCCGGGGTGGGGTCCCAGCCCCGCCGAGGGCCGCTCCCTGAGGGCTGTCTGGTGCTGCTACAGGCCCTGCACCCGTTTGCCGAGGACGACACGTGCCGGACGAGCCAGGGTTCCCCCGCGTTCCAGCCGCCCGAGATCGCCAATGGCCTGGACACCTTCTCTGGCTTCAAGGTGGACATCTGGTCAGCTGGGGTCACACTGTAAGTGCCCCTGGGCCTGTGTCCCTCCACCCCAGGGGTCCTCCATCACCACCCCGGCCCCAGGTACCCCGTCTGGGCTCCAGGCTTCCCTGACCTGCCCCTCCTGGCAGGTCCCCCAGCTGCTGCTGCCCCCTAGAGTCTGTGAAGGCCACAGAGCCGGGGTCAGGAGCCCCCATGGGTGGGGAGACAGGCACTGGGACCGGCCATCCTCCTGGCCCCCGCCCACCTTGGGCTTGTGCTGGTCTCCACCTGCGCTGCTTCCCACACCGGCCACAGTTGCTGTTGGGTGGGTGTTTCCATCCTGACTCCTGGGGCTGAGAATTCTCAGACACCATGAGTCGCCGGCAATGCTCGGCCCACCGCTGCGTACCCCCGACCCAGACGCCGCCACGTGGTCGTCTGTTCCTCCATGAGCTCAGGTGGCACTGGGTGGGCCTGTGTTCTCTGGAAGCGTCTCCTGCCCGAGGCGAGTTCACGCTGCAGCCCCCTGTGCGCGCAGCCAGTGGCATGGGTGTCCCGTTTCATGTTACTGAGAGCTGACTCATATACCGTTGACCCACCATGTCAGAGCGTGCCATCCGGTGGCTTTCCATATCTTCCTAGTGAGCCGTCACCACCATGTGTTCCAGAACGTTCTCACCAAGTCCAAGTCCCCACAGGTGGGGGTGGTTAAGGTTCGGGACCAGACTGGCTCCAGGCTGGGGCGCGAGGCAGGCCCTCCTGACTGGTCTGTCCTTCCTGGGGCCGCAGCTACAACATCACGACAGGCCTGTACCCGTTCGAGGGGGACAATATCTACAAACTGTTTGAGAACATCGGGAAGGGGGACTACACCATCCCGGGGGATTGCGGCCCCCCACTCTCAGACCTGCTCAAAGGTGAGGCCCTCGAGGCAGGAGGCTGGGCTGTAGGGGTGGGTGGGGTGGGTGGGCTGGCGGCGGGTACTGGGGCCCCCGTGGGTTTCCCGTGGGCCGACCCTTCTCTGTGCAGTTCCCCGACACGGGGCGGGGCGGGGTGGTGCAGAGCCTAGTCGGGTGTGGAGAGCAGTGGGCGCAGGGGCGCCTGCGAGGGGCCGCTGGCTCCTCTGGGCTCCACTGCCTGCCCTGGGCCTTCGTTCCACCCTGTTCTGATCCCCCATCCCTACAGTGAAGTAGCAGCGGGGACCCCAGTCCGCCTGCTAAGTGGGGGTCTCCTGTGGGGGGGGGGGGGGGCCTCTTCCTGCTGCAGTTCCCGGCCTGTACAGCAGGTGGCGCTGTCTGTGTATGGCAGGGGCCTGTCTGGGCGTGGATGGGTGAGAGCCACACCAGCATCCTGGGGCTTGCCTGAAGTTAGTTTTGATGACGCAGCACATGCAGGGTATCGCCCTGTGTGACCGACACCGTCCTAGGTTCCCTGCCCACAGTCCCGGGCTCTGTGTAACTGACCTGACCCTCGGCTTGTGCTGGACGCTGGGTCAGTGCCCGGCCTTCGTGTGAGGCACAGCCAAGAGGATCTTCACAGCCCTGCGTGGCGCCTGAGCTTTCTGATGACTGAGTCTCGCTGGTTCTTTGGCTTGTTAGCGAAGGTGAAATGAAGCTGGGCAGCCGCGTTCCCAGTGCTCTGCGGCCCCCCCCCCCCCCCGCCCCCCGCAGTCCAGGCCTGCATTGCCAGCTGCCCCAGGGCCCTCAGAGGGGTGGGCGTACCGCCTGCCTGGGGTCTTCTTGGAATGTGGGAGGAGCCAGCAAGCGGGAGGCGGTGGCCTGGCTGGCTCAGTCCCAGCCCTCCCCACCTGAGCACTCCTTAGCAGCTCGTGGGCCCCGTCCTTGGGGGTGCCCGGAGCGTGCCCCCTGGCCTCCCCCAGCTCCACTGAGGGCCGAGGGCTGTTGCAGGCGGTGAGCTGTTGTTTCGGACTCTCCTTCCCTCGCCAGGGGCTGGTGGGTTGGAGTTTCCTCTGTACGGAGCTTTCTTTGCTCCAGTGACACAGATGATGATCTGTTGCCACCCTCGCTCTCATAAACGCTCAAAACAGCCCCAGGAGGGGCCGACGAGATGGCAGAGGGCACCCGTGTCCCTGTCCCCAGGTCCAGGCAGGGTGTCCCATTCTCGCTTCCTCCGCCCAGGCCTGCCTCAGGGCCTTTGCACTGCACTCCGCATGCAGGCTCCTCCCGGCCACTGGGCTGTTGAGCCGCCTCCCCCGTGAGTGTCTAGAACACCGCGCTGGCCCTGCCCTCCTGCAGCGAGCCCGCGACCCTGACCTTTCCTCCTCTCTCACATCACTCAGACACTCAGCTCTCTGAGCCCCAGCTTCTGAAATGGCCTCTCGTTTCCTGAGAACAAAGGCACCTCCAAGAGGTGGTGTGCAGAGCCCTGCCACCCCCATCCCCCCTCTGCGTCACGCTCGGTCCTCCCGTGGGGAAGGGGGTGGGCACTTGAGCATGGTGGGGGCTGGGGACCTTGGGCCCTGGGCCCCCTGCAGCCCTGCGGGGGGGGTGCCGCCCTTTGCTGCTTCGGGCCAGCCCAGCACAGCCTGCAGGTCAGCCTTGCCCCTTCTGAGTGTCCGGGTGCCAGGCAAAAGGCCCTCACACCAGTGTCTACATACGGTGTGTTGCCCTCGAGGCCTCCGGTTCTCCTGCCGCTGCCTCGGGGGGCTTTGGTGTCCTAGCTAGAATGGCCAGTCACAGGCTTTGCTGGCCAAAGCCGGTGGGCACCAGCAGGGGCGAGCCATGTGCTTTGTCTCCTTAGGGCGTGTGAACAGGTTCAGGGTCACTGGGGTGGGCTGTCCGTCCTGCGTCCCAGCCTTTTTTGGTCTTGGTCCTCCCAACCTGGCTTTGTAGTGTCTGCCGGGCAGCCCCTCGTGTCAAGACAGGGAGACGGCCCCAGCTGTGTCCTCCGTTCAGCTGGGGGCTTAGCATCTGCCCCCGTGCTGGGCACCCGGCTGTAGAGGCCAGGCCTGCGGGGGAGGGGGCTCCGCTCACTCACGCCACCCCCTCCCCTGTACGGGCACCCACGGGCGTCCCCACCTCTCCCAGGCAGGGGAGGGCCCTCTGCCCGTGCTGGCCCCTGCACCCACCGCTGGTCTCCCCGGCAGGGATGCTGGAATACGAGCCGGCCAAGCGGTTTTCCATACAGCAGATCCGGCAGCACAGGTGAGTCCCCGCAGGGCTCCCCACTTGGGGGCCCATGTGGTGAGAGCAAGTGGGAGCAGGGGAGGGGGAGGTCAGGGCTGCGGGGGTCTTGCTGGCTCAGTCTCTCCCGTTGGGCCCCTTCTCCCTCTCCCACCCCGCGTGGTTCTCAGCGGGAATTGGGGGTGGGCCCACGTGGTGAGCCAGGCAAGCCTCCGGCTGCCGTGACCCGCTGGCTTCCGCAGCTGGTTCCGGAAGAAGCACCCGCCGGCCGAGGAGCCGGTGCCCATCCCGCCGAGCGCGGACTGCAAGGACCGGTGGCGCGGCATGACAGTGGTGCCCTACCTGGAGGACCTGCACGGCTGTGCCGACGCTGCGGATGACGAGCTCTTCGACATTGAGGACGACATCATCTACACTCAGGACTTCACGGTGCCCGGTGAGTCCCCGGGGGTCACGGGAGAAGTGGGGAGGCCCCGCCCCCGGCCCGAGGGTCCAGTGGCCCTCCCCGCAGTGGCCACCCTTTTGACGAGTGGCCTTCTTCCCCAGGTGGCGAGGAGGCGTCTGAGGCAGGGCTTAGAGAGAGAGACCCGCAGGAGAGCCAGTGCTCAGACCTTTCTGGAGAGGAAGCTGAGGCCAGGGCCGCCGAGGAGCTCCGGGCAGAGCTCGGGCCCTAGTGTAGCGCTGCCCCACCCGCCTCCCCGCGGTGCTGTGCTATCCCGGGGCTGGTTCCGCAGGCTCCTGCATAAAGGTCTGCCCCGCTGAGCGTGTGCGGGTCATGCTTGTTTCTTTCCGGCTCGCCGCCTAGGGCTTAGGCGTTTACTGTAGAAGGAGCCCGTGTGCAGGGTGGCCAGTGGGGCCTCCAGGGAGCAGCCCCAGGGTGGGTCCGCGTGTCCCACTCTCCTGGGGGCACACTCAGGCCTCTGGTGCATCTGGCTGCAGCTGTTCCCCATGGGGTCCTGGGGTCAGGTGGGATGCCCCGCCCTGGGAACCCTGGCCACGGTCCAGTCCTGAGGCCTCCTGGATCCTCTGTCCTTTCCACAGGATAGAAGCAAGGTGTCCTGTCTCTCAGAGGCACTAAGGCCCTGGGACAGGTGCCTGGGCGTGAGCCTTGCTGGTCAGCCGGCTGTAGAGGCACTGACCACACACCGTCTCTTCAGGCCTGTTCCAGAGGCTTGGGGCTGCTTTGCCTGGGTGGGGGAGGGCTTGTTCAAGAGCGGCTCTCTGGGCCGGAGCCAGATCCCTGGCCTGGGAACGTCCTCCACATGAGACGTGGGGACGGACGGTCCTGTGCTGAGGTTGGGCAGCCGCTTCTCGCTGACCTGCCCGTGGGCCGGCAGAGGGCCGTGTTGGGGCTTCTCCCGTTCTGGTCCTGTCGTGTGGTCACGGTCAGAGGCTGGCTCTCAGCTGCTCCCCTGGGTCCCTGGTCCTGCCGTCCACCCTGAGGGCTGGTGCTGGGCCTTGGGCCGGGTGTTGGTTGGTCGGGGCCAGTGGCCCCATTGCCTTGAGGGCATGTGGGGCAGATCCCGTGCCCTCCAGCCACCCTCCGACCGTGGTCACTGTGCCAGAGGCTGGGCCCCAGGTGATCTGCGCAGAGTTTCGGTGCTCAGCGCCCCTGCAGCCCCCCTCCCCCTTCAGAGCAGGCAGCTGACACTGCCCCACGCTCTGGGTTCTGACCTGAGACGCTTCCCGGTCACGGGCCGGTGCCTCCCGGCTAGGTTCAGAGGCTGAGTCAGGCATAGGACGCCATTGGTGGAGACGGGGCTCCGTGTGCGGAGGAGATGGGCTTGAGGCAGCTGCAGGCAGTTTCCTGCCGACATCCATGGGAGGGGGGTGCACCGTGGGCAGCACGGGCTTCCCGCACCCTTCCCTCCCCCCACGCCTCAGCGGGGACAGAGTGGGGCGGGCGGCCCCGGGCCAGTGGCCCTGGGACCCGGTGAGCACTGGCAGCCCACACAGTTGGGGCCGGGGCATGGCAGGCACCTGTGACGGCCTCTCCGTTTGTGCCGGCGTGGAGAGCCGGGGCGGGCTCTTGTGGGAGAGACGGCGAGTCCGGACACCCGGCCCGAGCCCAGCCCCTCCGAGTCCCACGGGGCCCAGCGAGGTCTGGCCATCGCACAGGTGAGAGAGCCAAGGCTCGGGCCCCAGGTCCCTGATGTCCACCGTGTTCCCACCCACCTGAGTGCAGGGCTCCACTCACACCTGAACAGGCAGGTGAGCGTAGGCTGGGCCCCGCCCCAGCTGGCTCGAAGGCCAGCCCCGCTGCTCCCCATTGGCAGGACCTGGTGGGACAGGTGGTGGAGGTGCCCTGGGCCCGGGCAGGCGGGGCGCTGGGGGCGTGTTGGTCGGGAACCCCCAGTCAGCACAAGTTTGCCTTCTCCTTCCTAGGACAGGTCCCGGAGGAGGAGGCTGGGCGGAGCGCACAGAGCCGGGGCCCGCCCAAAGCCGTGTGTGTGAATGGCACCGAGTCAGCCCAGTTGAGCGCCAGGTCGAGGGCGGAGCGCCGGGCCAGTGCCGCCTCCAACCCCGCCCGCAAGGCCTGCTCGGCCAGCAGCAAGATTCGCCGGCTGTCAGCCTGCAAGCAGCAGTGAGGGTGGCCGCCTGCAGGTGGGAAGTGGCGGGGACCGGAGGAATGGGTTGGGGGTGTGCCGTGGGCACTGCCCTGCTTGGCTGGTGTCACTGTCCTGCTTGGCTGGTGTCACTGTCACGGCCTGTGCCTGTCGCCCCCGGGGTCTGGGTTGGAGGTCACTTTCATCAGGGCGTTGGCCACACACTGGGGTCGGGGGGCGGCGTGTGCAGGATCAGGGCCCCTAAGCCGGCAGCCTGTCTTGCAGACCTGCGGGGCTCACCCCCACCCCGCCAGGCTGCTTCTGCAACAGGGCGATGCTGGCGTCAGACCAGGCTGGGGGTTGGGGGGTGAGCAGGTCAGGAGGGGCTGGGCTCTGACTGAGGCCGTCATCTCCCCTCCCTGCTTCCTCTTCCCAGCCCTGACCGCCCAGTCCACAAAGGGTGATTGGGCCCCAGAGGCATTGGAGACCCCATCGCCTGCTCAGGATGTGAGCAGTGGGGTAGGGGTCTGAGGCTACAGCCCCTGTCCAGCCATGTCCCCTCTCCCAGGGAGCTGCCCCTGAAACACCTCCCAAGGAATTTGTATGCCAGCAGCAGAACCAGCCAGGTGGGGTAGGAACTCTTTGGAGGGAGGCCCGGTTCCGTGGCAGAAAGGCCGTGCTTAATCCCACCAGGTGGCCAGAGATGCCCGGGGTGGCTCTTGAGGCAGTGCAGCCCTCCCTAGCCTCCTGAGGCGTCTGACAGCACTGAGGCATGACCAGGCCTCAGTTTCCCCACCCTCTGGGCGGCCCCAGGGGGGCCTGCTTCCTGGGATGCAGGGCCTTTCGTTGACCCAAAAGTGACCCACCTTCTGTTCTGGTCTCAGCCTGTCTCCAGGAGCCCCGGCCAGGTCCTGCTCAGTCTTCGCGCCGACTGCTGGCCTGCCGCCCACTGCCCAGGAAGGCGGCCGCTGCACCCTTCGTGCTGACTGCCCCTCCGGAAGCCGGAGGGTCCTGGAGGGCTGTGGTTGGGGGACAGCAGGGACTGGGGTCCGCCCTCCCCTGGTGGCCGGTGGACACGACCTCCTGCTGACTGCAATCCTGTGCTGAGCCCCTTCCCCCCGCCGGGGGAGGAGGGAGTGGGCCCGGCGCGGCCCCACGCCAGCCCTCGCCATGCACTTTACGTTGAGACTACTGGTTCTCGCCCGCCCCGACCCCTCTTTTTACTCTGCCGCTCATTAGCGCCTCCCACACCTGGTGATGTGTTCCCACCAACCACAGCCTCAGCGGGACGGGCAGGACAAGTGGGCCTGTCGACCGAGATGCATGCCCAGTGCCCAGGGGAGCCCGGCGGCTGCCTTGTTTTCATTGTTTGGTTGGTTCTTTTTTCTTCTTTTTTAAGAAAAAATAAAACAGGTGGATTTGAGCTGTGGTTGTGAGGGATGTTTGGGAACTGTGGGTGGCAGGACGTGCTGTCAGGTGGGGGGGTGTAAGTCTGAGCCTGAGCCTGGGGCCCTTTGTGGACCCCACAGTGGACGGGCTGGCCCGGGTCTGCAGGTCTTGCTGGTGGTGCCGGGTGGAAACGTGGGCCTCCCACGCGTGTCTGCCTCTGGCCATGCTGGATCTCTGTGCTCTCTGGTGACCCGGCTTCCCCAGAGCTCTACAGGCCCCTCTGCTCAGCCCAGGGGCCACAGCTCCACAGTGCAGTGGCCAGGGGGGCCTGATCCCCTTTCGCCCAAGGCCTCTGTACTCCTGGGTCCCCAGAGAAAACCCAGAGCAAGCAAGAGTATGCAGTAAATATAATCAATCAGAAAACAGAACACAAACTCCATCACTGGATGGTACACAGACAGCACGAAGCTTCGAGGGGCGGGGCAGGGCGACTCGGCCGCTGGCGAGGGCTGCCCCATCTTTTGGCAATAAATAAAGCTTGGGAAACTTGAAACTTTGACCGTTTGGGGTTTGTGTCTCAAACACTGGTGAGTCCTGGTTGCTCTTTGGACGGTGTGGTTACGGGAAGTGCGGCCCGCTCAACATGCGGAGGGCGGGTTCAGGGTGCAGACACCGGGAGGAAGGGGACCGGGGGGCGTGTACAGGGCTGGGGGCGGCGGCGGCGAGTACGGTTATTGCTCGGAGGGGGCGCGGACTGCCGCGAGCACTCGCCGCGGTGAGGTAAACGGCTTCGGGGGCTTGGAGGCCACGGCCTCGAGCTAACCTCACAGCCCGGGCCCGCGCGCCCTCTCTTCGCGGAGCCTCGGCGCCCCTTGGTCCCTGCGCGTGCGCCTTAGCGCGAACTCCGGCGCGTGCTAACCGGACGCGTGCGAACCGGACGCGTCGCTAGGCTCGATTGGTGTTGGGAGGGGCGCTCTGCGCATGCGTCTCGCGCAGTCGGCTCGCACTGCCCCTCCAGGATGCAAGCCCTACGCATGCGCTTCCCGTTGCGTCGTGCCGTGGACGCGGCGACCCCGGTCACTAGCCCGAGGCCGCTGTCTGGGGCCAAGGGAAGTTGAATGTGGTCCTCGGAACCCCTAAGTTGAGAATCCGCCACACTCCCTTTAGTCGACCCGATGAAGTGCCCGGAGGGGACTGTGTGCGTGCGCACTTTGGGCTGGCGCAGGGTGCCTGGGGCACTGCGTGCGTGCTCGAGGCCCGCGGTCCCAGCGCAGGCGCGCCGGGGCGTCGCACCTCAGGTGTGTCCAGCGCCGAGGCCCCGCCGGTGCCGACTAAGCTGACGAGGTGGGCGCGGGGCGCAGGCTTAGACCGGGCTGTGGTCGGGGGACGTGGGCGCGGCCACGGCCAGCGCAGGGGCCGCGGCGACAGGCTGGGCCAGGCGTGGCGGGAAGAGCCTGTCGTCGAGGCTGGCCGCCAGCTTATCCAGCAGCGCGCCCGGGGGCCCGGCGCACAAGCCGGAGCCAGGGCAGCCGCCGCCGGGCTCCTCCTCGATGACGGGGATGGGAGGCGCGGCCGGGTCGTCGCCCACACGGACGTCGGGTGGGCAGTCGACGCTGTCTCCGCGGCGCAGGGGTGCGCGTGCGGGGCGGGGGGCGCCGGGCTGGGCTGCGGGTGGGGCGGAGGGTGCGGCACGCGCGCCTGGGTCGCTGTGCTGCCGGCCGCGCTGCTGCCACTGCTTGCGCGTGTGGGGGTGCGGGTGTGCGCGCGCGCGGTGGCGCGCTGCGGCGGGAGGGGCGTCGTCGAAGTGCGGGTCGTGGCGCAGGAACTCGTGGAACAGCGCGTCTGTCTTCTCATCGATGCTGTAGTCGCGGCGCGGGGCGCGGCGAGGCCAGGCGCGCGGGCTGCCAGGCCGGGCGGGCGCCTCGGGCGTAGGACCCTCGAAGCTGCAGCCCACGGTGGCTTCGCGGCCCGAGCTCGTGAAGGAGGAGCGCTTCTCGGGCGCGCTGGGGGGCCCGTCGTCGCCCGCGCCGCGGCCCTCGATGCTGGCGTAGCCACTGTCCATCTGCAGCAGCTTGCGCGGCCCGCCCGCCTCGCCGTCCGCCGTCCGTGGTGTGGGCGGCGGCGAGGGTGGCGGGAAGGCGGGTGCGGCGCCCCCGGAGCCCGAGCTGTCGCCGCTGCGTACCGAGTCGCGGTCGTTGCCGCTGCTGCTGTGGTCTGAGGCGGTGGCCGCGTGCAGCTCGAGCGAGGCGCGCAGGCTCCAGATGTCGCGATAGATGGTCTGGGCCTGCTCTGGCTCCGCGTCTCGCTCACCATCTGAGTCTTGCTGCTGCTCAGGCCCCGCGCTGACGCCGCACTCCGGGGGGAACTCGGGGCTCGCTCCTCCTGCGGCGCCCACCTCCTCGGCTGCCTCTAGCCTGCAAACCAGGCCACAGCCGTCAGGAGGCAGCCCAGGCACCCCGCACCCCCTCCCCGGCCACCCTGCCTCTGGGTCCGGGAGGGTGGGCACGGGTGGGAACCCTCTAGGGTTGGCCAGGCCCTGTGGAAGATGATGTATTTGCATGCTGCCTGTTCACTCTGCACTGGATGCTTTTCGAGTAAACCTGGAGCCGTCCTGGCGCCTGCCGTTCAACCAGGGCCTCTTACAAAATGTGACCAGAGCATCTGCTGCCACTGCAGGAGGTTGGCCCCTCGCCCAGAAAGAGTGAAGGCTGTTCTCGGGAGATGGCCTTCTTTGACTAAGAGCTTCGTGTACCAAGGGGTGGCTGGGGATGGACTGGACCAAGCAGGGTCCAGCTCAGCCCCTACGCCTGGGTGACTCTGAGTGTGTCGCCTCAGCCCCCCGCCATAGACTGACAAGTAGCCAGGAGGAAGATACACACGAAGGAAGTGTTAACTACCCAGACCAGGAAATGCCCAAGAGTCGGGAGCCCTGCTCCCGGGATCCAGTTCCCCATCCCACTGACGTGGACCCAGAGCTTCAGCAGAGTTGTCCTTGGGCTGGGGGAGGGGGTACCGCTGGCAGAAGTGGTCACAGCAGTTTCTGAGTAGCGGCCTCCAGCCCTCAGGAGCATGGACAGGCAAGAGGGACCCTGGGGCCACAGCGGAGCCCTTCAGGCTCCACCAGGAAGCAGCGATACCCACGCGGACACATACCCACAGCGGCCCTACTTGAGCAGGCATTCTGTCTTGGAGGCCCCGCCCGCCCCTCTACCCTTACCCAGTCTCCCCCTGCTTCCCTCCTCTGGTCCGTGCTGGAGAGGTGGCCCCAGCGAGGCAGCCTCCGGGAAGGACGGTGGAGCCAGAGGAACACGAACACGACCACCTGTCCGAAGGGCGGGGAGAGCGCTCCCTGGGCCACCTATGGGGGACGGGGTGGGGCAGGGGCCCACCCCTAGCACCTCTATCTACTGAAAAATACCTGCCGAGAGTGGGGGGCGGGCTGGCGGGGCTGGCGGGGCTGGCCAGGAAGGGGCGGGGGCTCGGGAAGGCCACGGTGTCGCCAGCGCTGGCGATGTACTGGATGAAGTCCACGTGGGGGGCGTCCCCCTCCTCGTGCTCCATGCTCTCGCTGGCTGCCCGCTGCCGCTGGAAGTGGTGTCGCTTGGGGGAGCCTGTGCAGAGGAAGGTACAGCAGCCTGCCTGGGCCCCTCCCACCGCGGGCCCCACCCCCTGACCCCTGAGCCAACAGAGCCAGCCTGGACCAGGTGAGCATGTACCCAGCCGTGCAGGTGGGGAAACCAAGGTGCCGAGGGCAGAAAGACCAGGACCGAAAGCCCAGCAGCCAGGGCAGGCGGGACTGGAGGTGCCAAGGTGGCAGCATTGGTCCGAGTGGCCCTGGCAGGCAGGTGTGGCCAGAGCACAGCCTTGTCCTGGACACCAGGTAACAGACACAGCCCGACTAGAGTGCCAAAGAAGGCCGAAGGTGGGGGAGAGTGAGGGACAGGTGAGGGGGGAGAGGTGACGCCCTCTCCTGCCAGCTCCAGCCCTGCCGGCCCAGGGCCAGGACCCTCCCACAAGGGAGGCCTCAGTGGGAAAGCCTCAGGGGTGGGGATGACAGTCACCCAGCAAACAGGTTCTGGGTGCTTCTGTGCCTGCATTTGCCTATAATCAACCTCCCGAATCACAGGCTCTGTCTGGGCTCCCAATGGCACAGTGGGACGAGCCCTCCCCTCCCCTCCCCTCCCCGGCCAGGAGCACTTCAGCCAGAACTGACCCCTCCCCCCACCCCACAGCAGCTGGAGCCGGGCCCCAACAAGGGGACTGGCACTGTCACTGGCCACGCACCTTCCCTGGCCTCCAACACTGCTCATCCCCTCGCCCCGCCTTTCCTGGCAGTGGGACCCACCACCTCCGCCACAGGGCAGCAGGCACCCCAGCGCCTGGCCCCGCTGAGCTCCCATGAGCAGGGATGGTTGTAGCTGTTGGTGCCACCTCCCCCCCAAGACACACATGCATGGTCCTTGGGTTGAGGTTTGGAAGCCCTGTATCCAGGGCCCCGTACCAGGGGTCTGCAGGATCGAAGGCCCACCACCTGTAGTTGTAAATAAAGTTTTATTGGCCAAAGCTGTACTCTTTTACACGCCATCTAGGGCTGCTTTCACGCCACCGCAGCAGAAACACTGACCGCAGAACCAGAAACACACCATGCAGTGCCTCGTAGGTGACGCTCGCTGATGCCCGCTCTAGCCTGACAACCCCTTGTTTTACCGGGGCTCAGCGTGCAGCCCTGGCTCTTCCTCCTGACCAGCTCTGACCTTGGGCGAGATGCCCGCTGGTAAGCGGGCGATGCCGGCCAGCATGGGGTGGGTGCTGGGGACCCCTCCCAGGGTGCAGAGCCGCCTGCTCCACATTCTCCTGGGGCCGCCCCTGGGCCTCGCTCCCCACCAGGGACCACAGCTCACCTCTCGTGTCCAGACTGGACGCCCGCTGACTGGGCTCCAGCTTCCATTTCTTGACTTTGAAGTAGGGGCTGGCCCCGTCCAGGCTGGCGTGGCGCCTCAGGCGGGTGAAGAACTGCAGGACGGGGCCTGCCCCAGAGGCTGGGCCTGCCTCCCCAGGCCCTGCTGTGGCCCCTGGCCCACCAGGCTTTGCACTCCTGGCCCCTGCATCCAACTGTGAGGGAAGAGGGATGCTCTCAGACCCCCCAGCCTCTCCCTGCTGCGCTAGTGCCAGCCCAGCCCAGGCCACGCGGCACTCACACAGAAGGCAGAGGAAGAACAGGGGGCTGGGGGTGGGCTGGGGCCTCCTCCCCCTGAGAGAGAGGCTCCCCAGGGCTCGGCCAGGCGCTGGCCACCTCTGTTCCCCCAGCCCTGGACACAAGGGGTCCCGTCCCCTGGGCTGAGATGGGTCCCTGACCACACCCTCTGCAGCTGTTGGACTGCCCTGTGTGCAGGTGAGCCAGCCGTGCATGTGCCCTGTGTGCCACCTGCCCCTCTTCCCCCCAAGCTCGGGGACCAGGCAGGGGGCCACAGGCTGCCCCGTCCTGGAGTGGGATGGGGGATGCATGTGCGGGGGCCTCACCGAGGTGCCTTCCCCAGAGTCACTGGAAGCCGAGGGGCTGATCTCGAAGTCGGCAGGGCCCACGGCCGAGTTGTAGGGGTCACCTGGCAGGGCGGAGCTGGGGCCCACAGAGCGGCCGGTGAGGGCCTTCCCCGGGGGCTGTGGGACAGAGCCGGGGTGGGGAGGAAGCAGTGACAGGTCAAAGAGCACGGGTGGGGGGGATGCGTGCTGGACCCGCCACCCGCTGGACCCGGCCAGGCCCCACTCCCCACCCGGAGGTGAAGGGTGCAGCCAGAAGGTGGGAAAAGTGGTGCCTGCTGGGGGAGGGTGGGCCGCCCCTGAGCTCGGGCCAGCTGCCACCCCAACTCACCTGGAAGATGGCAAGGCTGGCCTTGGGGGCGGCCGTGGGGTGGGGTGTGGCAGTCGCACTGGCCTCGCCTGAGTCACACTCGTGGATGGTGACGATCTTGAGGGGCGGCAGGTGCAGGTGGGTGAGGCGGGCGTTCTTCAGGTGGTGGAAGTCCCCCTCGGTCAGGGTGTACCTGCGCCCAGCGCGCCTGCCCGTCACCTTGGGCGAGCTGGGTCCCTCTACCCACACCCCAGCGTCCTCCCCGGCCCCACCGTCACCCTGCCCGCCGAGAGTGGGGGACAGCCAGGCACCGGCGGGGGCCAGCTCTGCCCCGCAAGCCCAGCGCAGCAAGGTGACCTCCCAGGTGAGCCCCGGCACTGGGCCCTCCTTACCGGCGGCCCTTGTCCTGCGCCTTCCGGCTCTGCTCAAACAGGGCCGCCTCGTTGAAGGACACCCGGCGGCCGGTGGAGCTGGTGGACAGGAAGCGCTCGGTCTCGGCGTCCTGGCCCTCGGGCTCCTCCCCCCTGAACTCGGGGTCTGTGAGGAGAGCCAAGAGAGGGTGGGCCCCGGGTGGGCCGCGCCGGGCGCCGGCGGGCGGCTGGGCTGCGGGGCTGGGTCGGGAAGGGAGCGCCGAGGGCCCGACTGACCACCGGGGGCGGGGTGGGGGTGTGGAGGGCACTCGCTCATCCGCTCACACACTCACTCACGCAGCACGCGCCTGTGAGCACCTACGCGTGGGCTTAAGGAAACAGAGATGAGTCGGACTCGAGCTGCGCCCAGTCTGGTGGGGGAGACAGACAGACACAGATGGTCAGGCGGCCCGGGGGGGGGGGGGGGGGGGCGGACAGACGGGCAGCGACAGGCCTGGCAGGGCTCCTCACCTTGGGCAGGGCGGGCGCCATTGTCCAGGTAGCTGGTGGTGGTCTTCTCTGCTTCCTCTGTGGCTCTGGGGAGGGGCAGCAGGAGAGCAAAGTGGGCCAGAGGACCCAGGGCACTGCCCACAGGGTCCCCCGCAGGGCTCATGGCCACCGGGGCATCCTGAGCTCACGGAGCCCACTCCCTCGGACCCACCCCATTCTCCCAGGCTCCTGCGCAGACACGTGGGCACCGTCACTCAGAAGCAGGCCCAGCGCCCCTGCGGCGTGGGCTCTTAGGCTGACCTGTCCTAGCTCCCCTGCGGGGCAGGTCGTGGGGCTGGGGGCCCGCGCACCTGTGGACGCGCCTGTGGACTTCCCAGCAGCGCCTGCAGAGCAGCAGCGTGCCCGACAGCACCACGAGGGTGCCCCCAACGAAGAGCGCCATCACCACCACCAGCAGCATGTAGTTGTCCAGGACAGGGTCGGGCTCCCCCTGCGGGGCCAGCGTCAAGGGTCAGGGCCTGTGGGCGTGGACTCTGGCGGCCCCGCCCCCCACACCCCCCTCACTCACGGTGGGGCGGCCCGTGGCGTTGTCCCACGTCGTGGTCAGGGCGACCGTGGTGGAGGTGGTGGCGGCCGTGGCCATGGTGGCCGTGGGCTGCATTCTGAGGCTAGGAGGAGGGGCCTGGAGGGGCAGGGCCTGCTCAGCTCCAGCTCCTCTGTCCCTCCTCCCGCTTTCCCGGGAGCTCGAGCAGGGGACCACACAGGGCGGTGACTCACGAAGAGGTGGGGAGGAGCCCCGAGGCAGCCCCCACCCGGGTCAGATCAGACATCCATGTCCCCATCTTTGAAAAGGGGGAGGCGCGTGCGTATCAACAGCTTCCCCAGCCGGTGGGGCCGGCCCGGCAAGGTGGCATGGGGCCGGAGCCCTGCCCAGGAAAGGAGAAGTGCCTCTGCGAGGAATAGGCAAATTGAGGCTGTCAACTCACTCCCGCCAGACCCCAGGGGCCCTGCCTGCACCATCAGGGAGCGGGAGGGGCCGCCTCGGCCCCAGGAGACTGGTTCCAGAATAGCGGGGACTCGGGCCATCCCTGGGGCTGGCCAGCCCGGGGAGAGGGTGGAGGGGCTGAGCGCCGGGACTCCAGGTTACGACTCCTGGATGTACAGGTTCCCCCTCCGCCCAGTACCGGTGGGAGTGAAAAGGCCAAAGGAGGCGCATCTGTTCCCAACCCTCAAGAATCTGGTTCCCATGGCGACTGAGCTAGCAGGCCAAGCTGGGGGGGGGGGGGGGGTGGCAGGGAGCACTGGGGGGGGGAGGGGGCGCGGGGGAGGGAGGCCTCCTGCAGGGGCGGCTGGAGCCAGCCCCGGGCGGCAAGATGGCTGCTGCCGCCGCCGCCCGCCGGTGCCCGGTCGGCTGCGCGCCCCCGCCGCACCCGTCCCCGCCCGAGCCGGCCGGGCTCCACGTCTGCCTGGAGCCGGGGGCACTGAGGCAGAGAGGGTCTCAGTTCTCGGGAGAGGGACTGCCTGGACCTTGCACCTGACCGCCCTCCCCAACACGCGGCTCTTCCCGGCGGGAAGGACCGGTGGCCGCATTCTGGAATCTCAGGAAACCGAGTCCGGGGCCGGGACGACCAGCAGCCCTGAGTGGGCACGGCGCGCGGCCCGTCCCCACACGAAAGGGAAAGCCTGTGTACAGGTTCCAGCGCCCCCAACCCTTTGGGACTTTCACCCTACTCGACAGCGGGGGAAACTGAGGCCCATAGCAGGGGAGGGTCCGGGAAAAGCCAGGTGTCCTCGGCACTTCGGGTCAGAGGCTGGCCGCGGCTCCCCTGCATTCTCGGGGGAGGGGGCGCCTCTATGTAGGTCGGGAAATGAGTTCAGGTTAGGGGGGAGGGGGCAGAGGCACAGGGACGATGACAGGAGACCAGGAAAGACAGCAGGAGGCCGAAGGGGAAGGGAGGTGGACTCCTAGGGAGCAGGTGGGGACGGGAGACCAGGGCGGAGGTTGCCCACGGGCCACCCTAAAGTCCTGCCGGGCCTCGGCTCCCGATCGGGCTCGCCACCGCGCCCACCCCCGCGTCCCCAACCGGCCCGGGGGACCGGGATGGCGAGCGATGAGATGCAGACAGCCGACCTCGGGCACATCTCAACCCCGGGCTAAGCCCGGGGGCGGAAACGCCACGGCCCTCGCCGAATTTCTCAGGGGGAAACTGAGGCTGAGGGAGGGCGTGGGCGAGGGTCCCTCTCCGGGCCGCCGAAGACGGGTGCAGAGCCTGGCAGGTTGGCCCCCACGCCGGCCCTGGCCCCTCCGCTCCCTGCCTCCGGCCTCGCCGCCTCGCGGGAGAGGGCCGGTGGTCTCTAGCCAGGGCGGGCCGTGCGGCCTCGGCCTGTCCCCCGCCCGCCCCGGTGCAGCCCCAGGCCCGCGCGCCTACCTCAGCGCCGGGGCGCGCGGCCCATGGGCGGCGGGCGGGTTGCTGCACGGCGCTCCCGGCGGGCTCCGGCGCCCGGTAGCCGCGGAGCAGGCGGAGAATTTATGAATGGAGAGCTCGGCGCGCGGGGGAGGCAGGCGCGAGAGGAGGGGTCACACACGTGACCGCGCTGGCGGCCAGCCCGCTCCGACCCGCTCGGTGCCGCCCGGTGCTGCCGGGTCCCCGGCCGGCCGCCCCCACCTCGCTCGCCGCCGCTTCTCGCTTGCTCCGCGCCGGCCACCGCCTCCCCGTCCCTTCCGGCGGGGGCGGGGGGCGGAGCCTGTGCTCCTGGGCGCCCCCTCCCCACGCGAAGCCGCCCTCTCCCGAGGCAGCTGAATCTCCGCCCCCGGCCCCTGAGGCACGATTCCCCGACCTTCACTGGATCCCCGGGGACGGGGGACCAAAGGGGTGTTGGTCCCAGGGCGCACGACTCCCCGCGGCCTGGAGTCCGGGGGTGCCCAGACTCCCTAACCATCGCTTCCCCCGTTTGGGAGTCTCCGGGGTGCACAGCCTAGGGGCTCCAGGGCACATGTCCCACTTTTCTTCCCCTACATGGGCAGCACTGTCAGGGTTGTCTTGTTGTTAGGATGAGCAGCAAAGATAATGGAACACAACGCATTCTGAGTGCCACCAGGGCTTGCCTGGGGTGGGGCGACAACAGGACTACCCCTGCAGAAACCCCATGCCTGGTCAACCCCAAACTGCTCTTTCTCAGACAGTTGTGCCTCATCTTTCTAGATGCTCAGGCCACCAATCTGCCACCAGCCAGGTCGGGGTCCCATCCCAGCCTGCCAGGCCTTGTGTTCAGCACAGCACAATGGCACCCCTTTCTCCTCCAGTGAAAGAGGAAGGCCCAGTCCAACCCCAGGGCCTTTGCACGTGCAGGTGCCAGGCCCGGACAGCTTGTCCCCTCCGGAGCTTCCTTCACCTCTTTCCCAACGACGAAGTCTTCATCTCCTCTTGACTCCCTTTGCTAACAAAGCAACTCCCACTCCACATTCCGGAGCTCTGCTGCGCTTTGCTTCTCTCCGAGGCCCTGCACGTCGTTGCCTGTTACTTGTTCCTCTGCCTTGTGTCCCTCCTCACCCCTGCCCCCACTGCGGTGACCTCCAAAAGCAGTTCATTTACAGCTGGGTCCGAGAGCAGAGCATAGCACAGGGGCAGCACCCTGGAGAGAAGGTGTGTGTCCAGTGGATGAAAGGGTGACACAGCCCAAGGAGGGCAAGGGGCAGTCAAGTGGACAATTACCCGGGAAGGCTGGCTCCAGGCGTGTGGGAACTGCATGGGCAAAGTCCCTGAGGTCCCCAAGTGTGTGGGCTGAAGGTGAATGTGTTGGAGGACCAGGGGGAGGCAGCTTGTGTTCCCAGCAGGGGAATGATGTGGTCCCTCTGGCTGTTTGTGGAGAAGGTGCCCTGGTGAAGCTAGGGGAGGAGCCTGTGGCCATCCAAGTCAGTAAAGGTAGCTGCAGGGGCCGAGCTGGGTGGCTTGTCGATGGGTACACCAGAGAATTCCAGGATAAACCCGGGTTGGGGACCTGAGTAACAGGTGATGCGCCGACCCCTTGGCTACCCTGGAGTGGGGATTAGAGACAAGTCCAATAGATGGGTCTGAGAAGCATATGAAAATAGGCCTCTTTTCCAGTAGGATCCAGGGTTCCGGGACGAGCAAGCCGTGCACAGGACGCACCCCTAAGAAATGGGAGCAGAGCTTCCCTCTGCACACACCTGACTAGGGCCAGGATGCCCAGCGCATAAGGACTGATTCCACGAGTACCTCTCACAGCGCTGACCTAGAGAGGGTGCGGGGGCCTGGGCGCCAGGCCCCGGGCCTCCCTGGTGTGGGAGCCTCTTTCGGCCACAGCACCTGCCCAGCCACGAGCCCAGGTGTGACCCACCCCCACCCCCCGCGCCCTGCACCCGTCCGCTCCTCACCCAAGGCCCTTCCGGATGTGGACCCCAGCCCGGTCTAGCCGGACTCCACGTTTTCCCGGAGCCCAAGGTGGGGGCTGGGGCCCAACCCGGGGTGCCGACCTGCCCGCGCGCGGGGGCGGAGCGGTGACGTCAGCGCCGCGAGCGAGGCTGCGCGGGCCGAGGTGACGTCCGCGGAGCCCAGGGCCGCCCGCGCACGCGCCCTTGCGTCAGCAGCGCGCGGAGGCGGTGGCCGGGAGGGGCTGCGGAGGGCGCATCTCCGGGCGCGGCGCGCCCTCTGCCGGCGCCCTTAGGGGTGCAGCCAAGAGATTCCTACACCGCTGGACGCTTACGGGAGCTGGACACTCCGCCTGGGATACCGTTCCCGGGACGCCTGCACCTCCTACAATCACTGCCTGCCCCATCCGGGCCCCATACTCTTTTTCATTTTTAAGTATTTGTCACCTCCTAACATACTGTACAATTTATTACGTTGAGTGTCTGTTAAACGCCCCCATCACCCCAAACTAGAGCAGGAATCTTAATATTTCCCTGATGTCTCCCCAGCGCCTGACATCCAATGAGCGCCCCCAAAATCTTGAATTAAGTGTCTCTTTCTCCGCGCGGGCTTCTGGTGCTCCCCGTGCAGAGCCGTGTAACCGACCCCCGCACCTGACCACCGGGCTGGGAGCTCTTGCCGGAAGGAAACTACAACCCCCAGCATGCCGCGCGTCCAGGCGGTTCGCCGTCTACAACATCGCGCACAGAGCGCCGGTAGTCGTAGTTCGCGCCTGCGCCCTCGTCGGGATTCTTCTCCCAGAAGTCCTCGAGCGTCGTCTTCCTCGACCTCCAGGCCGCTGGCGTCCAGCCGGAGTCTGCCCGCCCCTGCTCTGCTGTCCGCCGTCCGCCCTCCATCATGCTGCCCGCTGCGCTCCTCCGCCGCCCAGGCCTGGGCCGCCTCGTGCGCCAGGCCCGCGCCTACGCCGAGGCCGCCGCCGCCCCGGCCCCCGCCGCGGGCCCGGGACAGATGTCTTTCACCTTCGCCTCACCCACGCAGGTTCGGACGTCCGCCGGGCTCGAGACCCCATTCTGGACCCCGCGCCCCTCCCCCGTGTGGCCCAGGATCCAAGCCCCCAACCCTCAGGTCGGCGACCCCCATTCCCGACCCGCGCCCCTCCCCCGTGTGGTCCGGGATCTGACCGCCCAACTTTCAGGTCGCTCCTCAGCCTCCCATTTCGATGTGCGCCCTTCCTCACGTGGTTCAGAACCTGAGTCCCTGGGCACCTTTCTTGTACGCTCCTCCCCAGGTGGCTCGCTGGTTCTGCCTTGACCGCGCTTCCTTACCCGAGGGCTAGGGTGCCTGGATTCCATTGTCAAGTAGACGAAGGCGCTGCAGTCCTGCACGAGGACCCCACCGAAGCATCGGCTGCCTCCGTGTCCCCCGTCAGCTTTCAGTCTTGCCTTGGCTGTTTAACTGCGGCGGAGACTGACTGCTGTTCCCCGAGGGACTAGCCTGAAGTGACCCTTTCTTTATGTATCTTGTCTAGGTGTTTTTCAACGGCGTCAACGTTCGACAGGTGGACGTGCCCACGCAGACCGGAGCGTTTGGCATCTTGGCAGCCCACGTACCCACACTGCAGGTCCTGCGACCAGGGCTGGTTGTGGTCCACGCTGAGGACGGCACCATCTCCAAATACTTTGGTGAGTTGATTGGGAGGGCAGAGGGAAGGGGCTGGGTGGGAGATGCTTGTCTCAACGGGTTAGTTCTCGTTTCAGTTGGCAGTGTCAGGAAGGACACCAAGGATATAGAACTCCCCGGCACTGGGCTGGGTGTGGTTAGGGATGTAAGTGGTCAGCAGTGGGCCGGGCGGGGGCCCATCGGAGGAGAAAGGATCCTCAATTCGGAGGAGGTTTTCCACAGCGTGGCCCCAGCGGTACAACCCAGACTGGAAATCAGCTTCGGCTCACTCCTAACCCTGGCTCAACTCCTGGGCTGCTGGGCAAAAGGAGGGGGCTCTGTCCCCATGTCCAGTCTACAGTAGATGCACTTGGTGGCCTCTGTTCACTTGTGTGCTGGGGCCTTTGGATCGTAGAGCCACGCTGTGTGGTCATTCTCCTGGCCCTGCAGGGGCTCTGGGGCTGACTGTGTCTCCACACCTGTACATGGACCTCTCACTCCCCCTCCTCCTGCAGTGAGCAGTGGCTCGGTCACGGTGAACGCTGACTCTTCGGTGCAGTTATTGGCTGAGGAAGCCGTCACACTGGACATGTTGGATCTGGGGGTGAGTGTCCCAGGGGAAGCTGGTGCTCCGAGCTGCCACGAAATCCCCAACTGCAGGGAGGGAACAGGTACCGGGCTGGGCTCCTTGCTTCGCCCTCACCCGCCACCCACCCCCTGCAGGTGGCCAAGGCGAACCTGGAGAAGGCGCAGTCGGAGCTGTTGGGGGCCACGGACGAGGCCATGAGGGCCGAGATCCAAATCCGCATCGAGGCCAACGAGGCCTTGGTGAAGGCCCTGGAGTAGGTGGTGCATGCCCCATGCTGGCTCCGGCAGGGAGACTGGGCCAGAGCTGGGCAGGGGATGGCCTGGCGTGAGGACCCAGTTCCTGTGGGTGCAGGTTGTCTGGGAGGCTGGGGGAGTGATCCTGGGGGAGCCATCCTCTCTAGGAAGCCACCAGGGGGCAGCACAGTGCCGGCGCCTGCCCAGAGCGCCTTTCAGGGCTCTGCCTCTCTGTGGTGAATAAACCAGGGAAACAAGCCAGCTCTGGTAGGCCTGGGGGCTGGCGTCAAGGTCGGGCACTTGCCCTACCCGTGGGGATTACTCTCACCCCGGAAGGCTCTTCCACTTCCTAAGATCTCCCCAACCTGACGGGCTGGCCACCACTCCTCTGCCGCATCTGCCGCAGAGACCTCTGCTCCCAGCCACCGGCAACGGACAGCCTGCTCCCTGCCCGAACCCTCATTAAACACCTGGAATCCAGTTTGCATACGCTGACTTTATCCTGCTTGGTGGTGGGCTTGGGACCCAGCGCGGCCTCTCCCCCAGTGTCCTGTGTCTGCGCAGCGAGGTGGGGCAGCCAGCCTCAGCCTTCCCAGCTCAGCAGGCTGTAGTCTGAACCGCTTGGGGTGTTGGCGGTGCGGGCTCAGCTCGCAAAACTAGACTGGGTTGTGGGAAGGCTGTTGGCTGTCACGCCGGGAGGGTGGGCACAGGCGAAGGTCACCAGCCAGGGCTGGGGATGGCAGGCAGCAGCGTGGCTGCCACTTCTGGGCTGGGCCTGGGCTGCTGGACAGACATGAGGCTCTGCCAGGTTCCAGACTGTGACGCCTGTCCCGTGGGCTCCCCGGCCCCGCCCCAGCTGCACTGGGAGGGGGTGGGTCCTGCCTGCTCCAACGGAGGCCCTGCCCTGTGCCTGCCTGGCCTGTGGGTGGCCCCAGCTGGCCAAGTGCCCGATCCCTGATGGTGTTGGCACCTCCGTGGCACCCGGGCCCCTGGACTGGCCCCAGATGGGTGGGGTGGCCAGGCGGGGGCGGTCCTGGCACCTTGAAGCTTCAAGGCTGTCCCATTTCTTTCAGCCAGTAACTCACTTTTGCAACCATGGGGGTGACCCAGGCACTGGCCACCTCCTTGTCCCCCTCCCCGGCCCTGGGTCAGAGCAGAGCTGGTGGGGCATTTCATGGGGGTGAGTGTGTGGGAAAGCTTGGGCCTCTCTGTGTGTCACCGGCAGCCAGAAGGTGACGGAGAGGCCACTCCCGGGCTTGTCATTGGCACGGGTGGGCTGTGTGGTCTTGTGTCACGATCTTATGCGAATGACTGTCCCGTAGCTGCCTCAGAGGCTCGATGTCTGGGGAGTCTCCAGGCAAGCTTGCGGCTCTGGGCGGTGTCCGTCTGGGGCTCGCTTCTTCTGTGCAGGTGAGGTCCAAGCAGCCGGCCCCCACTTCCTCAGGAAACCCCAGCTCAGCTAAAGCTGGGACAGCCGTGGGGTCACAGGTGCAGTCCCACTCCTCCCCTCCTTGTCTCCCGGCTTAGAGCCCAGGTCTTCGAGTTCCTGGACTGGCTTCTCATCTGTTCTATAAATAAGAGCAAGGACACAGTTGGGGGCTGGTGGGGGCTTGTGGGAGGAGACCCTGGACCAGTGGTCCCCACACCAGGGAACCTGCCTGCACCATCACCCCCTGAGGCCACAGCCCGGGGCTATGGGACACAGCCACACAGCTAGGACCCCCAGCATGGTGCAGGCCCCCTGGGGGATGTGCACGCCTCAGAGCCCGGCTTGGGGACACCTGCGCCCTGACAGCTTCAGGAACAGCCTGTGCTGGCCAGGCTGCGTCCTGGGGTGGGAGGCACCCAGGGTGGGATGGGTCACAGGGCCAGGAACCAGGGGTCACGACCCCTTCTGAGAGTGCAGGCCTTGGGCCTTGTGGGGGCAGGCGGTGCCCAAGGGTTCATCTCCTTCCCAGGAAGGGGTCCCCTCGTGCTTTGAGTGCGCTCACGGCCTGGGACTGCCCCCCATAGCACAGGGATGCTATGAGTGGGAGAGAACAGGCCTTAGGCTGATCTGGCACGTTTATCAACTGGGACTTGCAAAGCCAGGCAGGGGCCACTGGTCTCCTGTGTGTGTGACCCTCAGGGACCCCATGCCAGGAGACAGCCCACTTCCCTGCAGGCAGACGAACCAGCCCCAGTGAGATCACAGACCCGTTGGAGGTCTCAGCCGCACCCCACCCAGCGCCACCTGCCCACCTGAGGGTCCCACCTGGCCTGTCCCTCCGTGAGCCCTCCAGCGTTCAGATGCTCCGGCTTCAGAGCGCACGGTCCCCTGTGCTGCCTTCCTGCTCTCTCTGCAGGCAGAGCAGGCCGGGCCCACAGACCCTCAGCCCGGCCCCATCACCAGGTCTCGGGGCACTCGTGAGAGCCTCCGGTGCTTTGCGCTCACTTGCTTCTCATCTGAGCACTGTTCTGTTTATCTGGCAAACTCCTATCCGTGCCTCAACCCCAGCCTCCTGATCCCTCCCTCAAGCCCAGCCCTGACCCTATGGGGCTGGGAATGTCTGGGTGTGCCTGTGAGAGGGTGGGGGGCCAGAGGCTGCAGGAGCCCTTGGGTGGGAGCAGGAGGCAGACCTGGAAAGGAGCACAGCCCTGGGAGGGGCCCCCAGGGCAAGGCTGGGGGCGGAGGTGGTCGGGTCAGATAAAGGGAGACACCAGATAAGTGGACAAGTGGCCTGGGGTCCCCCTTCTCTGGACAGAGAGGGAGGGACGACTGAGAGGGCCCTACCCTCAGCCAGGGTCATCCTTAGAAAACCCCTTACACAGGGCGACCTGTAGGGACACACCTGAGGACATGCCAGGTTTCTGCCTGTTAATGGCTGTGTGGCCTCAGTTTACTCACCTGTAAAATGGGTAGGGTGATTACGCCCACCACAAAGGCAGGATACCAGCAGGTGAGCATGCCTGATGGGATGATGGCAATATTGCCAGGCCTAGGTGAGGGCCCCACATCCCCAGGCTCCAGAGTGAGGTCTGCTGTGTTCTCTCACTTCATTTTACTGCCACCCTGCAGAAACTGAGGCTCACAAAGGTCAGTGCCCTACGGGGTCACAAAGCCCAGGGGGCGGTGACTGGATGCACAAGGCAGGCCTGGCGCTGGTGAATCGCTCCATAAATGCCCTCTGAGGTCACCGTTAAGGGATGTAGTTGGCTGGGCCGCCAGGGCAGCTGGCTGGGGCCCCCCCACTGCAGGCAGGTGACCCCAGCCTGTTTTCCTGGACCGAGGCCGCTGACTCAGGCCCCCCTTACCGCTCCCCCACGCGGGCGCCCCCAGGCGGAAGCACTCGGCCAGAAAGGGGGCGGGGCAGAGAATCCAGCTGTGCACCCCGAAACCCCATAGCACGGGCCGGAGTGCGGGTGCGCCCGAGTCGTCAACGCGGCCGACCGTGACCCCAGGTTCGTAGCATTCAAGGAGCGCCACCCCCTCCCCGTTTAAAATGCGAGATTTAGGGGGCGGGTGGCCCAGGCCCGACGGCGCCCCAGGGCCCTGGCCGGCAGGCAGGGGCGGGGGCCGGCCTGCGTCACCGCCTGCCCGGCCCCCCGCCCCCTGGCCGCCCAAACTCCACCCCGAGGGAAGGCGGCGCGGATAAAGCCTCGGGGGCCGCCCGCTCGGCCCCAGACCGGCTCCGCCACCGCGCACTCAGCCTGGACGTGGGTACACTCAGGACAGTTGGGACTTCGGACTTGCCTCTCCCGGTGAGTGGGGGGCGGGACCTCGCGGGCCGAGGAAGGGGGTTCTCACTCTAGGCTCTTGAGGGTGCCCCACTTTTCTTTGTTCTTTGAGCAGGCAGTGTTCAAAGGTGTCTCCAGCCCTGGGAAGCCCCCCGGGACGTGGAGTGGGAGGCACTCGGCGCAGCCAGCACAGCCCGGGAGGGACCTCTGCCCCCGCCCCGCCCCCCGGGCACTCCCCCTCCCCGAGAGTGACCTTGAGCTAGTTGCCTTTCCGGCCTCAGTTTCCCCGAATGTGAGGCCCCAGTCTCCTGACTTGGAGGCTTCATACCCCTAGCGAGGCTCCCACAACGCCCGCAGTCCCGTCGGACTGCCCCCGTCCCTGGAGGCCTCGGCGACCCCTCCCCGGGTCTCCGGGCAGCGCTCCCAGGTGGGGCCGGCAGAGGGCGCGCCGGCGCTGCTGACTCACCGCAGCCCCGAGCGGCGCGCGCGGGCGCAGCCGGGGACGCCGCGTCACGTCACGGCTCGGGCGGGCGCGAGTCGGGAAGCGGGCCCGGCCCGGCGGGACGGGGGTGGGACGCGAGGTGGCACCGGCGCGGGAGGGCCTCTCCGGCACCGGCCACGTCACCACGGCACCGGCCACGGGGGTGCAGGCCCCGCCCGCAGCTCCACCCCTTGCCGGGGCTTCACGCCTCACGGGTAGGGGGCACCCCGGACCGACCCTCCCGCGAGCGCCCCAGCCTGGGCTCGGCCACGAGGCGCGGGGACAGCGTCCAGCTTCCGCTAGCGGCGGCTTCCCGGATCGGCGCTTAGGGAAGGCCCCGGCTTCCTGCTCCTTCGGCGCGCAGCCACTGCCCTCCCCCACGGCGCGCCGCCCCAAGCCTGGGTCCCGCGCCCCACGGGCCGGGCCGCCCGCCCTTTGTTGCGGGCCCGGGCCTTATGAATGGCCGCGGCGGGGCGGGGGTGCGGAGGCGGGCCAGAGCGGCGCCGGCCCCGCCCCTGCCGCGCTCCGCTTGGCCAACGGGACAGGGGCGGAGCGAGGGGTGGGCCCGCGCGGCCACGTGGGGCGGTGCCGCGGGGGCTCCCATTGGCCGGCCAGTGTGGCCGACTGGGCGTTCAGCACGCGCTGATTGGTCGGCGCGGGCCGGCGGAGTAAGTAGTGAATGGGAGGGGGCGGAGGCCCCGCCCTTCGGGACGTTGATACATTATAACTTTTTTTTCTTGTTACTTTCACCCCCAGATCCTCCGGCGGCGACGGCGGCGGCGGCTGTTGCTAAGGGAGGGGACGCGCGGGGAAGCTCGGCCCGAGCGGCAGACGGCCCTGAGCGCGGCCGGCTGAGTGGCGCCCCCTCCTCCGGGACCCTTTCCCGCGCCCGCCGCCCTTGAAAGGAGCTGAGAGTGTAGTCCCCACCCAGGAAGGTGCCCCGACGAGCCGACGCGACTCCGGAGCGCCACTCGGATTTTTGATTCTTGATTCGCCTTCCGCTCCTGGGACCTTCTCGAAGGGAAAGCGCGCTGCCCCCCGCCCTCAGGGGCCCCGAGGACCCCTGTTTGGGGAGCCCCCCCGCCCTGCCCGGAGGCGCGGCAAGAATTGGCGGCGCCCCGCGGACTCCAGCCCCCCAGCGCGGGCCGGGGATGGAGCCGCAGCCCGGCGGCGCCCGGAGCTGCCGGCGCGGTGCCCCCGGCGGTGCCTGCGAGCTGGGCCCGGCGGCCGAGACGGCGCCCATGAGCCTGGCCATCCACAGCACGACGGGCACCCGCTACGAGCTGTCGGTGCCCCCCGACGAGACGGTGGAGGGGCTGCGCAAGAGGCTGTCCCAACGTCTCAAAGTGCCCAAGGAGCGCCTGGCGCTGCTCCACAAAGACACGTAGGTACCGCGCGCCCCCAGCCCCCGCGCCCCCCGGGCCCGCCGCCCCCTCTGGCCCCGGCCCCGGGGCGGGAACAAAGAGCGCGCCGCTCGGGGAAGGAAGGGGGCGGCCAGACGGGGGGCGGGGGCGCGCCGCGCGCTCTCGGGCGCCCTCTGCTCGGCCCTGCCAGTCTTGGCCCCCTCCCCCGCCCGGGGTCGCTGCACAAAGGCGGCTGCGAGGGCGCCTCGGGTCGGGCTTAGGCGGCGTCCCCCACCGGAAGGCAGGAGTCCCGGGCGGCGCGGGGGTCACAGCTACGGGGGTGGGGGGCGCGGCGGCTGCCTCCTCTGCCTGCGACCCGCCGGCTTCCGCATCTGCTCGGCGGCCCCCTCTGCGTCTGGCTGCCTCTCCCCCCACTTGCGTCTCTCTGCCCCCCTTTGTTCTCGCCACCAAGCCCTTCCCGCAGTCTCCCCCTCCCCCCCCCGCCATTTAAATCGCCTCCAAGCCGGGAGCCCTCCCTCCGCGGGCCTCTGGGGACACGCAGTGTCCATCCCCAGCGGAGGGGCCCCGGTGGGGGAGGGGCGAGAGGGGGAGGGTCTCCTTTGTCTGAGCGGCGGCCGCGGCGGCGGCCTGCGCCAAGGAGGGAGGGAGGGAGGAGGGGAGGCCCGCCCGGCGAAGCCCGGAAAGGCTAAGCGCTTGGCCCGCAGGGACAGCCCAGGCCCCGGTGGTTGAATTACAGGGGGGCGGCCCCAGGGTTGGGGGAGGGTGCCAAGGGACTCGCTGGGCCTAGATGGTGAAAACGTGCCTCGCTGAGGCGCAGAGGGAGTGCCCCCAGTCCAGAGTTGGGGTTCCTTGGAAGAAGGGATCTGCACCGTCAGCAGAGGCTCCCAGGGTCTGACCTCAACCACGCACACACTCAGGTCTCTGGATCTGGAGACCAGGAAGGGGTGGGGGTGATGGACGTCTGTCTCTACCTCACGAGCCCAGCCCTCCCCCGCGGACTCCGCTTCCGAGCCCCTGCCTTGTCTCGGTGTAGCCTCACCCTCTTCCTTCCTCCCCACTCAGCCGGCTCAGTTCGGGGAAGCTGCAGGAGCTCGGCGTGGGGGATGGCAGCAAGCTGACGCTCGTGCCCACCGTGGAGGCGGGCCTCATGGTAAATGGCTGGGGCGGTGCGCCTCGAGGCCCCGCACTGACAGGCAGCCCCCTCCCCTGCGAGCGCAGTCCCCTCCCCTGCCAGCACAGTCCCCATCACACACTGGACCCCTTCCCCTCCGGGCCACCCACCCCACCCATCAAGCGGGGCCCTCCCAACCCCGGTGCTCGGGTGCGCCCTCAGGGTCTCTTCTTCCTCTCTCTGTAGTCTCAGGCCTCCAGGCCAGAACAGTCTGTGATGCAGGCCCTCGAGAGCTTGACTGAGACCCAGGTAAGACCCGCGCCGGCCCCCTCCTGGCCCTTGGGGGCAGCAGGCCCAGTGCCCGGCCACTCTGGAGGGCCTGGGGGTTGTTTGTGCCCCCAGCAGGCCTGTGAGGAGGGGAGGGGACGCGCCGCTCCGCCTTCGTGCCAGCTTGGCCTGGTCACCCAGCTTCCTATTCCTCCTCCCCGCCCCCCCAGCACTCACCATCTGACCTTGAGAGCCTTCTCTCCCACGGTGGCCGCCATGGGGGAGGGGGCCTAGCTTTCACAAGCCTGCCTGCGGGGTGACCTTGGCCCATGCTCCCACACCACCGGGCCTGCGTCCCCAACCTCACCAGCCGTGCCGAGGCACTCTCCCCCCTGCCCCACTGTGGTTTCCCCAGAGCGACCTTTTTAACATTTCTGATGGGGGGGGAGGGATGGGACTGGGTGATACTCTTTCCGCCTTTCGTGACCCCATTGCGAGGGGTGGGGAGTCACCCCTCCCCCTCCTCCCTCTACCCTTTGTTCTCTGCCCCAAAAGGGGGAGGGGGCGGGGGCGCGCAGCCCCTGGGGCCAGCACAGACCAGACAGGATGTTAGGGAAATATTTAGTAAGTGCCGGGAGGGCGACGAGGAGGAAGGCTGGGGCTGGCCCACACTGGGTTCCCGGTTTTGTTGCAGGTTTTTTCTTTCCTCCTCCTTTCCTCATTTTTCTGGCAGCAGGGCCCTCCTCCCAGGAGGGTGACACAGGCCTCAGCTATCTGCCCGCTGCCAGGGTGGGGGTGGCAGGTCCCCGGCCTCAGGAACCTGCTCAGCGGCTTCCCTTCCTCCTGCCCTGAGGCCCTTGCCCCCTCCCGGCGTTTAGCATCCTGCCCTCACCAGCCAGCTGGCGCGGAGGAGGGGGGGGGGACCCAGGAGCTGGGTGGTCTGCCGTCAGGAGGAGCAGTGGGGTGGGGGGAGAGCCAGGGTCCCTGGAGTCGGGTGGGGCTAGTGTGTGTTTTCCTGGGGCAGATGTGAACTGAGCTCCCTGCTCCTGGGGGGGCTGTGGTTGGCAGGGGGCCCCTGGGCGTGTTTGGTTCACATCCGCTGCAGGGTGTCTACGTCAGGAGGGAGATGGGAGGCTCTGGGCGGAGTGACTGGGCTCCCAGAGCTGCTTCTCCGCCTGGCACCGAGTCATGCCTGCCCGTTCACCCTCCCCTGGGAGGAAGTTGCAGGGTGGAGTGTGGGGGGGGACACCCCAGCTGCTCTTGGGAAGCCACCCCAGGCCCTTCCTGCAAAGGGCATCTCTGGGGCTGGGGAGGGCGTGTGCACAGGGACTGCGGGGTGGGGGCTGCGCTCGGCCCGCCTCCTTTGCCTTCTCCCCATGGCCCCCAAGCAGGGAAGGTTACGCCAGCCACTGCCAGCAGGGAGGGGGTGGTTCTGAGTCATCGCGGCCTGTGTCACTTCTCAGAAACCTCCGCCCCATCCCTGCCCGGGGAGAGCACGGCACTGGCCGGGCCCCAGAGGAGGGGTCCAGTGCAGATGGGGGTGGTATGCACCCCTCGCCCGCTGCGAAGGGGCTGCCAGACTGAAGGTTCATGTTTGAATGGGCTGTGTTGAAGCCCTGGGAGACTCGGGCCCCAGGGAACTGGTCAGGGTCCCCCCAGCGCCCGCAGAGGCAACGCCTCCCCCTCAGCCTCGGCCCCGCCCAGGGCAGATAAATATTTATCTTGAGAAAGCAAAGGTTAGGACAAGAATTTGTCCAGGAATTTCGCCCACTCGCTGTTCCAGTGGCTTAGCTGGGAGGGGGCCTGAGCTAGGCCCCTGCAGTGTTCACAGGCGAGAGAGGGTGGGGTAGAGGTGTGAGGTGAGGGTTCTTTGAGAACAGTGATTGCTGGCTGGGCCCCGCCCCCTCTGGCCTCAGTTTCCCCTTGAAAGAACCAAGCTGGCCAGGGTGGGCCAGGCCCCCGTCTCACCCGCCTCTGTCCCCCCACAGCCCCCAGCGGCGCCCAGCCCGGGCCGGGCTGGCGGAGGCAGCTTCCGGAAATACCGATTCATTTTATTTAAGCATCCGTGGCACCGACAGGGACCCCAGAGCCCAGAGAGGGGCGGCGAGAGGCCCCAGGTCACGCAGCGCGGGGGGCCGGGCCGGGCCGGGCTGGGGGCACCACAGGCTGGAGCCCTGGGCTGACGGGCCGCTCTCTGCAGGTCAGTGACTTCTTGTCGGGCCGCTCGCCGCTGACTCTGGCGCTGCGCGTGGGTGACCATATGATGTTCGTCCAGCTGCAGCTCGCAGCCCAGCACGCCCCACTGCAGCACCGCCACGTGTTGGCTGCCGCCGCTGCTGCCGCCCGTGGAGACCCCAGCGTGACCACCACCCCTGTGTCCTCTCCCTGCCGGCCAGTGTCCAGTGCCACCCGCGTCCCCCCAGTGCCCACTGGCCCTGCGCCCACGTCCTCCCCTGTCACGGCCGGCTCCTTCCGCTCCCACTCGGCCTCTGCCACCTGCCCCGAGGTGAGTCTGGGGGAGGACGTGGTGGGAGAACGTCAGAGCCCTGGATACGTCTTTTGTATCAAGGGCCGTCCCCAGACCCTGGGCTGGTGTTGGTCTGGTGGGTGATCCCCTGACCCTGAACCCCAAAGCTCATGTGCCTCCCTCCCCCATCAGCAGATGGACTGCTCCCCCACCGCCAGCACCGGTGCCAGCCCCACGTCCCCCGCCGGGGGCAGCCCCACGTCCCGCTCCCGCAAACCTGGCGCAGTCATCGAGAGCTTCGTGAACCACGCCCCGGGGGTCTTCTCAGGGACCTTCTCTGGTAGGTGTCATGGCATTCCCTGCGAGCAGTCACGTGAACCCACGCCAGGCATGGGACACACTCCCCGGGATCCCCACGCGTGTGCCCGGCCATACAGCAAGCCACGTGTCCTCATGGGTGGGTGCGAGCGCCCGTGTCACCCAGGGTTCCGCCTGCACATGTGAGACCCGGGCACTGCCGAGGCCTCACGTCCACCACTGGGGTCCTCATCCACACCCCTTCCCGCAGGTACGCTGCACCCCAACTGCCAGGACAGCAGCGGGCGGCCGAGGCGGGACATCGGCACCATCCTGCAGATCCTCAACGACCTCCTGAGTGCCACGCGGCACTACCAGGGCATGCCCCCATCGCTGACCCAGCTGCGGTGCCACGCCCAGTGTGCCCCGGACCTCGCCCCCAAAACTACCTCCTGCGAGAAGCTGGCGGCCGCGACCCCGGCCTCCCTGAGCCAGGCCCGCCTGTGCAAGCCCCCGGGTGAGTGTCCACCCCCACCCCACCCCGTCCTGGGTCTCTCAAGGCCCCTCTGTGCACCTCTCAGAGCAGCTGAGCCGCTGGTGGCGGGGAGGGGGCCGCCAGCTGCCACTCGCCCTGCTTTGCAGGCGCGTGTAGAGAAGGGAGTGTGTGTGCTGGGGGCACACAGCATCTTTGTGCCCTCCCTGGGGGGGGAGTCCATCCTCACTTCCTCCTCGCCCCCCTCGGGCACCTTCTCCAGATGGTGCGTGGGGCCTCTGTGAATGGGCCAGTCAGGCTGAGGAGGGGGTTAGCTTCCCCCTCCCGCTCAAGGGCGGCCTCCGCCGCCCCACCACCACAGCCATCTCGTTATTCCGGATGCCTCCGGAGTCCTGTAGAACCGTGATGTGGGCCCCCAGGCCCGGTCTCAAAGGGGAAACCAGGGCACAGCCTGAGTCCTACCCTGGGTCACAGAAATAGCCTAAAGGGTTCAAGCTCCAGCTCATTTTTATGCTAGCCGTGTCCCCGGTGCCCGGCTCAGGCCAGCCCCTGCCCTCATGGAGCTCACAGCCTGCTGTTCAGCAGACGTGGAATTAATGACCTAAAGGTCCAGCAGACCCTCTTGACCCACTCACTCGCTGGCGGGAGCGTCCACAAGAGCTGGATTGGGCCTGATGCCCATCTGCTGGGGGTCCTCGCGTTTGGTTGGGGGTCTGGCCTCCAAGGGTCGCTCAGGGTCATGGTCACTGCCGCTTCTGCAGGGGACCGGCTGCGGCAGACAGAAAACCGAGCCACCCGCTGTAAGGTGGAGCGCCTGCAGCTGCTGCTCCAGCAGAAACGGCTCCGCAGAAAGGCCCGGCGCGATGCCCGGGGCCCCTACCACTGGCCGCCCAGCCGCAAGGCCGGCCGCAGCGACAGCACCGGCGGCGGGGGAGGCGGCGGCCCCAGTGAGGCAGCTGGCTTGGGCCTTGACTTCGAGGACGCCGTCTGGAAGCCAGAAGTGAACCCCGACATCAAGTCAGAGTTCGTGGTGGCCTAGGAACCCTGTCCCTCGCCCAGGGTGGCCTGTGAGCGTGGCCCCACGCGGGAGGGCCAGCGGCCGGCTGGTGCAGTGGGGCGCTTCCCCCTCCCGGTTACGCGGCCTTTTTTTTTTTTTTTTTTTTTTTGAAATTTCACTTCCTACCGTGGTTTTCCGAACTCTCCATGGACTTGGGTTCCTGCCTCCTCGGTTTGGCTCACACTGCCCGCCCCTCCCTCCATCTCCCATCCTCATCCCCGACCTGGCCGGGTCCCTCCCGCCCACCTTCCCAAGCTCCAAATATGTAGCAGTCTTTCCAGATGGTTGAGAGCGGAGACAAGGAAGCCGCCCCCCACTTCCGTTCTGCCGCCCTCCCCACCCTTTTCAGGTTGAAGTCAAAAATGTAGATGCCTCATTATGCACTTTACAGACAGGGGAGGGGGCCGCGGAGAGGAGAGGCCCCCACCACAAACCCTGGCCCTAAAACAACTCGGCAGGTGCGACCTTGACCACCAGGGACTGTTTCTCTTCCACATCCGTACTCTTTTCTCTTCCTGGTCTCTCCTTTTCCATTTTTCTTTTTCCTGGGAAAGAAAAGAAAAGCCGTTTCAGGGGAGAGGCTGGCCAGAGCCTGCCTTTCGGTGTGGGCTGGGGTGCGTGGGGGGGGGGACCCTTTCCTGCCAGGAAAGGAGAGGGAGGGAGGGGTGGTGCCCGCCGCCAGCCTGCACCCCGTCCACGCACTGTGCGACTTCCTTCAGCGCTACCCCACCGCCCCACCCCGTTTTTCTGAGCTTGGGGTATTTATAGACTATTAATTTTCTGACTGAGCCAATAGTGGTTGGGAATCTCTTGAAAAATACGGAGAGCAATGGCTGGGGGGCGGGCTTGACGCCCCCAGCCCTCCTTCCCCACCCAACCTGAGGGATCTGGGCCTGTGGACTGTGTCTGGGGGCCCTCCGGCAGCTGGGAGGGGAGGGGAGGGGGTGCTGAGCTGTGAAACCCCAGGAGGGGCAACGCTGTGTAGCATTAACCCCCTTGGGGGGGGTTCGCTGCTGGTCTAATTTGGACCCTCCCCACTCATGCCCATGCCCCAGGGGCATCCCCCAGGGCAGAGGGACAGACCTCTCCCCCCTTACTGGGGCCATTTCAGTGGGGTGGAGGGTTTTTTTCATTCACTTTTATTTTTTACTGATAAAGGAGATGTTTGGGCCCTGCCCCCCCACCTGTCAGTCTCGTCCTGGCCCCGCCCCTCTGTGCTGCGCAACACCCCTCGCCCTCTGCCTGCCCCTCCCTCCTAGATGAACCCCAAGTCCTCACCCTGCCCCCGATTATGTGTTTAAAGTTAATGGTTTCAGATGTGAACATCTTGTGTTAACTGTAGCTCTGTACATTTTTTGTGGGGGGGGGTGGGCAGGGAGGGGTCAGAGGGTAGGGGTCAAGGATCTTTGTTTTTGTTTTCGTTTTTCCAAAAAAAAAGAAAAAAGAAAAAAAGGGGCGGGTTTGTTTTTGAAGCGCTGTCTTGGATATCTATTTAATGTGTGTTCTGATGGGGTTTTTTTTTTAACGATTTTTAAATAACGTCTGTGCCTCCGCTGGTCTGAGAGTGGAGGCCCCAGGCAGGAACCGCCCACCCCTCTCTGCCCTCTCCAGGGCCCCCCCCAAGAAAGCATTACCCACCCTCGGGGGGTCGGGCTGTGGGGTGTCCCAGCACCTTGCGGGAGTTTCCTGTATGAAAACATGAAATTGGAAAAGAAAACAGCCTCCACAAACACCGTGATTTCAAGGAATAAACAAAATGAAACGAGTGAACCTCCGGCCTGCTCATCTCGGGGGGCGGGGTGGTCTTGGATGTCACAGAGTGGGCTGAGTACGGTAGGGGGTGATCTGTCTCAGGAGGGTCGGGTTGGATGCTGGGGTAGCCCGCCACCCCAGGGAGTGGGAGGTGGAACGTGCTCCCAGGGCGCCCAGCGGGGGGAGGGGCGCGTCCCGGAACAGTTCCCACGCCCCCTCCCCGCTTTGGGGTGAGGGTGGGCAGGAAGCCGCCTGGCGGGGGAGAGAGGGCCGGCCACTTCCCGGTACCCAAGGCCGGAAGTCCTGCAGGGTGTGGGCACGGGGCTACCAGCCTGCGTGCCCTGGGTGGGGCCTCTCCGTTCTAGGCTCTAAAGTGGGCTGCAGGGGGCTTCCCTGGTAGCGCAGCGGTTGAGAGTCCGCCTGCCGATGCAGGGGACACGGGTTCGTGCCCCGGTCCGGGAAGATCCCACATGCCGCGGAGCGGCTGGGCCCGTGAGCCATGGCCGCTGAGCCTGCGCGTCCGGAGCCTGTGCTCCGCAACGGGAGAGGCCACAACAGTGAGAGGCCCGCGTACCGCAAAGATAAATAAATAATAAAGTGGGCTGCAGGCGAGCCCAGGGACTCAGTCTCCAGGGAGACCTGGCTGCAGGCTCTGCGCCACGGTTTCCCCAGCCCCAGAAACGGGGAAGCAGCTCCACCTGCCCGCCCACGCGTGGGGGGCCCAGCCTGAGGAACTCTGACCCGAGCCCCCCCCCGGGGTATGGCGCCAGGCCTCCAGAGCACCCCCTCTCCCTCCCACAGTCAAGCCAGGGCCTGGGGCTGGCGCTCGAGGCCTCCCGGTTTGGCTCCACCCCAGCCCTGCGTGGACTCCCTTCGGCCTGCCCGGCCTTGCATTCCAGCGCTCCCCATCCCTGACCATCGGGATTAAGCCTCCGGGCCGTGCCCTACCCAGGAACACCCCTAGCCAGCGCCCCTGCTTTGCCTGGGAACTTCCCCTGTCTGCAACTCCCACCCCTGCCCACCTGGAGCTCCCTGAGGGCCGGGCCAGGTGGCGAGTCCCACCTTCATCCACTTTGGGGCTGGGCAAAGACACACAATCACAACAACACTGAAGGTCATTTCACATGTATTTCCTCACTTAACGCAGCCACCTAAGAGAACTAATTACCCTCCCATTTGGTAGATGAGAAAACCGAGGCCCGAAGAGAAATACCGTTTGCTCCAGAGCACTGGGGTGATTGTTACGTTAGCGACCACCATCCCCGGGCTGATTTCTTATAGCCCAAGACCCTGCCCTCCCAAGCCTCAGTTCTAGGAGTCCCGCCCATGGGGAACGGAAACAGGTGCAGTCCCAGGAGTGTCCTGGGAGCAGCTTGCTAAGGCCTTTCTGTCCCTCCTGCCACCCTGTCACCCCCAAATCATCGCACGCCCACGCCAGGAAGGTAGGATACTCAGGTCAGGCAGGCTGATCCCTTCAGACCTTCAGGTCAAACGTACCCGCGGGCCCGGAGGACCGCAGGGTGGAAGTGTGGGTGGGACAGCTCAGGTCGAGCCCCCTGCCCACGCAGCCGGGTCCCCGGAGGTCAGGGCTGTGACCCAGGTGGCCGCTACAGGGCTGGGTGGGAGATGCGGAAGGAGGGAGTAGATGGCGGCACCCGCTGAATCACGGGGGCTGTGTCTGCATGCTGCAGAGCAGGGGGCACTTGGTCTACTGCCGGGGAACTCACTCCACAGGGCGCTGCCTGGCGCCCATCCCTGGGGTCCGAGGGTCACAGCCCTGCCCGGGAGTCCTAGAAGAACTCCACCCTGGTTGGGTGCTGCGGCCATTAGCCCCTTCCCACTGCGCGAGCCTGAAACGCACACACCTGAGGCGGGGGCTGAGTGGAGAGGTGCCCAGCCAAGGGGGTGCAGCGACCGGAAAGGCAGCACGCCAGGCCACGTGGGCGTGGGCAGCACGGAAAGGTAAACCGAGGCCCAGAGTAGGCAGGGGCCGCGGAATCACAGGGGGCGGGGACAGCCCTGCACCGCCCCCTCCCCCCATTGAGGAAAAAGTTGAATGGGAGGGGGCGGCCCCCGGAAGCCCGCAGGGATGGAAACGCGGCTTCCATGGCAACGCGCCGCGAACCGGGCCTGACGTCACCGTGGGGAGGGCGCCCCGCCCGCCCCCGGCCTCGCGTCGGGCGGCCCAGGCCCCGCCCACTCCTGGGACGCCTCATTGGTGGCCACGTCGTTCGCTCTTCCGCACGCACCAATAGCTGCGCGGGGTTGCCGCCCGGAGGTGGGACTGCGGCGTGGCCCGGCTGAGTGCGCAGGCGCGGCGCGGCGCGGAGGCGTGCGGCTGTCCTCAGTTTGGAGGCGGGATGCGCGCCAAGGGGTCTGACGCCTGCGGCAGCTCCGGGACGGAAGAGGGGGCGTACCCGGGGGCGCCGCACGTGCACCCCCCCATTCTAAGCCGGGCCATTGCCTGTTGCCCCCTCCTCACGACCCCGTGTGCGCGAGCCCCGGGCTGGGGGGAGCGCAGGGCGAGGAGCGGGAGGAGGGCACTTGGATTGAGGCCCTGCCAAAGGAATAGGACTTTGCCAAGGATAGGAAGAGGGAACTGGTGCCCCAGGTGGGGGGCATGGCGTGGGCAAATGTCTGAAGACGTGAAAGCGGGTGCATTTGGGGAACAATTGGGAAGTCCATTTGGGGTCCTAAACCAAAAGGCGAAGGCAAGGACTCGAAAGGGGTGATTCCTCAAGTCTGGCTTGGGGGGGGATGAGATGGGAACCCCAGGGAGGAGGGGCGGGTGGAGAGGGCAAAGGCCAGAACACCCCAGGAGCTTTCTGAACGCTGTGCTTGGGCTTCGGAGAGGCCTGGGAAGGGACCGATGGGGCATTGTCTGAACGTGGCCTCTGGTTCACAGTGAGGTGGTTGGCAAGGGGGCTGCAGGGAGCTCGGAGATTTGGGGGAGGGGAGCAGTTGGAGACGCCCCTGTGCACCTGGAAGCCTACAAGCCAGGAGCCGGGACAGTTGGGGGCCCGGGGGGGCTTATGGCGGCAGGAAGTCCTCATCGCTGCCTGGCTGAGGCGCAGTTTTGCTGTGGCCAGGAGTCCCCTCTGAAAAGGCAGCAGGCCGCGGTCGGCGTAAACAGGGTCGCCTTTGCCGGGTGGCGAGGATGTGAGCAAACCTTTGGTCCGAGGTTAGCCCCTGGGGCTAGCCGGACGGGCAGAGAGCCCTGAGACTGATGGGGGTTGGAGCTGGCGGTGTGGACAGGTGTGGCTACCAAAGTGTGGAGTCCGGACGGAGGCCTGGATCCAGGTGCTGGCTTCTGGGATGATGAGGCGGCTGTGGGCGGGCAATAGAAGGTCACTGGGGTCACGTCTTTCTGCTGGAGGCCAGAGTCCCCTGGGGGCGGCCAAATGGGTAATTGGGGCAAGCTGCACGGTTTTGAAATGCCAAAGGACGCGGTGAGGGGTGGCTTGGGAAGAAGGCAGGGAGGAGCCAGGCCCCTAGAAAGATGAGAGGGAGTGGTGCCCCGCTGGGGCCAACTCCGGCACCCCCAGCACCCGGAGGCTGCCCCAGCACAGCCACCCCTACCGCGCCTGGCGGGAACGCCCTCCTTTCCAGGCACCTTGGGAACGGGAGTCGCCGAGCTACGGCCGAGGGTGCTGGGGCCCCACCCACGGCCGCCCAGACCTGGGAGGGCAGAGGACAGGCAGCCGCCGGTGTCACTCGGGATGGGAGAGCGTCCAGCCCGCAGGTGCGGGCGGGGCCGCTGTCACCTGGGGCCCTTCCACGACTGGAGACTGCCCTTCGGAGGGGCCTCTGTCCTTGGCCTGCTGCCTCTGTTCCCCCCACCCACGTGTGCCCCTCTCCCTGCTCCCTCTGAGTTCTCTTTTCCTGTGTCTTTCTGTTTTCCCCTTTCCGCCTTCCTCGATCTCTGGGACTGTATTTCTGTCCGGGTCTCCATCTCTCCCTGGAGGTCTCTTCTCTATTTTCCTCCCGTTCGGTCTCACCGGCTCCTCCTCCTGGCCCCTCCCCCGCTTCCGCCCCCTCTCGGGGGCACCCTCCCTCACCCCCCGCACACATTCCAGCCTCCACCCCCGCCTCGCCGCCCCTCCCTGGGGCCAGCTGCTGCGGCGTTCGGTGCCCGGGATGCTAGGAGTGGGCTTGAGCCGGGGTCAGAGGGCGGGAGCGGGCGGGGGATGGGGAGGGCACCCCCTAACTCTTCTGGAATGTGGGCGGGGCCTGCCCCACGGGGTCGGGGGGAGGAGGTCGCCCGCCGGCAGGCGGAGCCGGTGGCCCGAGACAGCTGGCTACATCTGCCCTGCACACGGCCCACACCCCAGACGCTATCCATAGGCCTCGCGGAAAATCAACACAAGCCCAGACGCCCACGCAGGGCCTCTTACCGCCACCAGACCCAGACCAACCCGTCTCCCCGTCCCACACACGCGCTGCACACCCTCCGCAGTCAACGGGTACATGCCGATCCCACCTGAGTGACAGGCTCCGGCTCTGCAGCACAAGGACCCCAATGCACACCGCCCCCACACCCCCAAACCCGCCCCAAGCTACACTTTGGGGGCCACAACCTCAATCAACAGTGTGACCCTCAAAACCCACTCTCACCCTGGGCCAAGACCTCGCTGACAAAACCCGCAAAATTGAAGGTCACACCAGGCAGCTCAAACTCAGACCCTCAGAGACGCAGCTCAGCCGAGGCGGCACCCAAACCCGCGGACGCTCCAGCCACAAACACTACCCACGCACCGTGCGCGCCTGCAGGCCCAGCCGAGCAGAGCCGGCCACTGGGCTGGGGCAGGTGCAGGGGCCTGTGTGCGCCCACAGAAGAAGTGGGGCTTCCTCCGGCATGGCCGGCGATTCCCTGAGTGTCCTGAGACACGGAGAAAGGAGAGAACAGCAGAGAACTGGGAGCCGCTCTGTGGTGTGTTTTTGTCACCGGCTGCCCTTCCATCACCCCCGCTGATCCCAGGAGATGCTGCTGCTGTGCCCACTTCTCAGATGATGCACCCTAGGCTCAGACAGGAGCCCAGACACCGCCTACCTGCACAGCTGGGCACCGGGCCATCGCTGACACTCCAGGGTGGGATGGTGATCGAAGGCTGGACGAGGTCCATGGGCACCTGTGTCTTCCTGCTTGGGTGTGGGGGCCAGGATGTGGGACTGCTGTGTGCGGCTGCCTGGACACACACAGGTGTCTTCCCTGAGCCTCTGGCAGCTGCCCCAGGGGGGTGTGCTCTCCATGACTGCCACTCCAGTGTTGCCATGGAGATGCCACAGCCCCAGTCAGGGGTGCTTCGGCCCCTCTGTGTGCCTGCAGGGAGCCTGTACGTGGGGCCAAGGTCAAGGGAGCGGACAGGGCATCAGTGGGGGTCAGCTCCTCCCACCCCTGGGGCGGGGCTGTGAACCTCAGCCCTCCCCCCGTCTCGGAAACCCAGGGGGTTGCATCCCCAGCCCCCACCGAGGCAAGCTTTGGGGTTTCCACGAGCACACAGGGGTCTCTGCGCATGCACAGGCCCTGGCGTTTCATACACACCTGACGTATGTCCTCTGCATGAATGCATGTTATTGTTGTGGGCCTCCGGGTGTCCCCCGGGTCCCATTCCACAGCCCGTGTGCCTGCCGTTGATGGGGACTGTGGTCACCAGCAAGGCCGATGCGCTGCCTGGCCTTTGCACTTCTGGGATGGGGGCTGGGGCAGGAGCAGAAGAGTGGCAGCTTCCACATTCCTGGGCCATGAGTCACAGGGAGCTCCACCCAGGTGCCCCCTCCCACGTCCCCCTCCGCCAGGAAGACCCCTCCTAGGAACAGGAGGTAAACTGAGGCCAGGGCGCAGGCAGCTGAATCTCCTGCCAATTCACAGTTGGCAGCCACCTAGGGATCTCAGATGTCCCCACCTACTCATGCAGGTGGGAAACGGGGTGGGTGGGGACGGGGGAGTCAGTTAAAGTTAAACTCTTCCTCCTGGCTTTTGGGCTCCTGTAGCTCTCCTCTGCCCTAGAGACCCCGGCGGCTGCTGACAGTGCGTGGCATGTTCCCACCCCAGGGGCATGAGTCACGCCACCAGCCATGGGCACATATGATCTGTGAGTCCCGGTTCCCCCGCGTCATGCACACGCAGCAGCGCTGTCCCCGGCTGATCCCACATCCTGGTTATGCACATGCTTTGGGGTCCACGCACAACCCCTTGTGTTCTTGCACATAAGGCATGACCATGCAAACATGTTTCCATGTGTGCACACGCACACACACACATGTGAGTTCTATGCACACACTTCCACAGCCATGTGCACAGGCACACGGCCCCATTTTCATGTTCACACAGGCATGGTCCCCAGAAACCTTGTTTCTCCATCTCTGTACCCACGAGTCCCCTGCCCACGGCACACATGTGCACCACACCTGGCAACGTACACACACATCCAGTCCCCGCTTCCCCCTCCCTGGCTCTGAGCCCCGGGGATCTGGGCCAGGCGGGCAGGCTGGAGTCTCTGCCAGGGCGGTCCCCTTCCGCGCCCGCGCCGGGCGGCCTCCAGGTGCACCGTCCCTGCCCCCGCCTGGCCGGCCGGGAGGGGCCGGTAATTACGCGGCCCCAGGGTTCCCCCCCACCACGCGCCTTTCATCCCGTCCACGCCCGACCCGAGCCCAGACGCTCATTACCGCCTCTCGCCCGGTCATTAGCCGGGGTCGGGGGAGGACCCGGCGTCCGGCGGGCCCGACCCGGCGGGGAGGACAGAGGGGGCGGTGCGGGAGCAAGAAGGCCCCGCCCCCGTCTCCGTGGCAACGCCGGCGCAGCCCCGGGGGTGGTCTTCGGCGGGCGCCCGGGGAGGGGCGTCTTGTGAGTGTGCAGACGGGGACCTCCGGCCTAAGCCCCGTCCCGCCGGGCAGGCGGTGAGCACCGCGTGTCCCGGCCGTGAATAGCAGCCTCGCCCCCGCCCGCGGCTATTTTAAGTCCCCTCCTCGCCGACCACCCCCCAGCGCTTGGGCGGAGACTCGAGGGCGGGCCTGAGGGCGGGACGGGAGCCCCTTCCCACGCTGGTGCTCGCGGCCGTCGGCTGGACGGCGGGGCGGGACCGGGAGCCCCCGGCCAGGCTGACAGCGAGGCCGTAGCTCCCCCTTGTGTCCGCGGGGAGAGCGTGGAGTCGCGGCCGAGGGAGCTGGCATCACTTTCCAGGGAGGAAGGTGGTGCCAGCCCCCTGAGACCAGTCCCCCATCTCGCCCCTCACGGGTTCACAAGGTCGTAGGTACACACCGAGTCACAGGGACACGCCGACGTCGGTAGCCGCAGAAACACAGGTGGGCAGACAGGTAACACACCTGAGACGCAAGCACACAGTTCCCACACAATATCCGGTGCAGGCGCACCTGGGGACAGGTATCCATAGGTAAAGGTATGGTATCCATAGATATCCATAGGTAAAGGTCCACACCGTGATGGGAACCCAGGACAGTCGTGGGTACGCATGGAGCCCCGTACCCAGCAACAGGCTCGTAGTAAGTACACGCTTGATAACTGCTGGTGGAATGAATGAATGAACCAGGGAACTTCACAAAACCAGGAGAAGGCAGACTAGGAACCACAGAACAGTGAGGGCGGGGACGGGGAGTGGTGCAAAGAGTGATGAGGGGCCCCGGTGACTGCAAGGACCCCTTCGCCTGGTCTGGGGACAGGAGCTGCCGACCTGACTTTGCTGGGGGAGCAGATGAGAAGGGAGGGGATTACTCCCGGGCTGGGCATGCCTGGCCCCAGGTCCCCTCCATGGGCCCTGGCGGGAGGGTGAGAGCTGAGTGCTGATTCTCTCTGCTCCTTTTAGTAACCGCCCTGCGTGAGTGGCTGACGCAGCAGCGGGCTGTGGCTGACGGGGAATTGTATGGGGGGGGGCTGTGGCGTGGGGGGACGAGGTGCGGACATGGCTGCCATGAGTCATGAGCTGCTGCCTGGGGGAAGGGGTCCTGAGCCCGAGGAGGGTGTCCCAGTGGCCTTGTCACAGGAGACAGTGTCCATGCTCTCATTCCTACTGCGTCAGCTAGACCCACCGAGTCTGGGGCCTGGAGTGGGGCTGGAACTTTCCTGGGGTAGGCAGCAAAGCAGGGGTCTCTGTTCTCAAATCGCCCTAACTTTTTTGGCTGTGCCGTGCGGCATTCGGGGTCCTAGTTCCCCAACCAGGGATCGAACCCACGCCCCCTGTATTGGAAGCGCGGAGTCTTAACCACTGTACAGCCAGGGAAGTCCCTCAAATTCACCCTAACTTTTATGCAGAAGGTATGCCCTTTGAAGACTTTCTGGGGCAGGGGTATAGCTTGGGCCTCTGGTCTGGGCAGGCAGGGGTCTGCACTAGCTTCTTCCACCCATGGAAGGGTCCAGGGCCACAGAAATTAACATGAGCCAAGGCCTGGGCAGGGGGAAAGGGGTGACCACAAGAGGGGCTCCCAGGAGCAGCCTTGGGGGTGAAGATCTCTGCAAAGCTGGTTCTTCTGATAGCAGAGGTCTCAGGACTCCCAGACAGAAAAAAGATGCAGGGGGAGGAGCCAAGTGGGTTCTGGGTGTGCTGGTGGGCGGCTGGAGCACAGCGGTGAAAGGGAGATGGGGGGCTGAGCTGAATTTGGGGGTGCAGTGGAGACTCAAGAGTTGGGCACAGTGGTGGATTTGAGAGCCCAAGTCGAGGTCAGCCTGAGGTCCAGAGCTGGGATGAAAAAAGTGTCTGGCCAGGTGACTGTGGCGTGTGGGTGCTGCACCAGACTGGGTGAAGTCCGGATTGGGGTGGGAGTTAGGTGTGGTTGCGGGTTGGGATTCGTAGGCAAACTGGGTTGGGTGAAGTTGGGGTGACCCAAAGTTGGGAAGCAGGAAGAATTGGGATCGTGGAGAATATTGGGGTCCACATAAATGGAGTTGCCTCAGTGTTAGGGTTTGGGCGGGCCTTGGGGCGGATCACACGAAGTGGAACGTTGGGGTTCTGAGAGTTCTGGGGTGTCGGTTATGTTGGCAAGTACATAATGACTGATATCGGGGTTCACATGAAGTTGAGGTGTCCGAGAACTTGATCTCGGGTGGGTGTGGGGACCTGGGTGAGGTCGGTAAGTCGCCGACTGCGGGAGCACCGCAAAGGTCTGGGTTCCAGCGACTCCCAGAAGGTTCCCAGGAGGCTTGGGCCACTGGCAGAAGCCGCCCGAACCCCTTTGTTCTCCGCCACAGGCCGGGGGGGGGAGAGGGGCGGGCGCGCGGAAGTGGGTCAGCTCCGCCCCGCCGAGCACTGGCCCCGCCTCCCGCGCGCGGGCGGGGAACTGCGGACCATGCGCGTCCCCGCCGTTCACTGTGCCCCGCGCCCGCTCGCGGGAGGGGGCGCGGCCGGTACAGGCCCGGCCCCCAGCTCATGAATATGAGGCACAGCCACGGCCTCCAGAGCTTCGGATTGGCCAGCGAGGGGCGGAGGGGCGGGCTCGGGGGGCGGGGCCTAGCGAAGAAGTACATAAGGCGGGCGCAGGGCGCCCCCCCAGTCACTTCGCGCGTTAGGAGACTCGGGTCGTTGTGCTGTGCCGTCTTCCCGCCTGCGCCAGGGACCTGCCCGACTCAGTGGTGAGGGCCCTGGCGGCACCGGCTCCACGGGCCCGGGGCGGCGGGCGGCCTGCGGCCGGCCGGAGGAGGCAGGGCGGCGGCGGCACGCCCCTGGGCGGGGGCGGTGCCGGGGCGGGCCCGGGGTGTAGTCCGCCCCGCCGGCGGCGAGGGGCAGCGGAGACCGGGCCGAACCGCGGTCGGAGGGCATCCCCCGTGGGCCAGGGTATTCGCGAGCGGGACACCGCCGCAAAATGGCGGCCGCGAGCACGAAGCTGCGCCCTGCGAAATGGCGGGAGCGCCGAGTGCCCGGATGGAGTGGCGTGGGGCGCATGCGCGCGTGGGTGGGGCCAGACTGGGGCTCCTCCCCGATTTCCTGTTGGAGTAGTGCGAGGGCGACACAACCCCGGTGCCACCCCCAACGCCCCAAGTTTGTGTCCCAGTTACGTGCTGCAGGGCGCCTTCTGGCCTGTATTTCGGAGCCATTCAGCGTAGGCTACCAGCCTGTAAAGGGTCGGTATAAGCACCGCCCCGCTTTGATATCCCGGCGCAGAGTCCCCGCCCCGCCTGCACAGCGCCCTGCAGTGGACCAAGCACGTTGCCACTCCGCCCGTCCCGCGACGGTCGGGTTAGGAGTTAGCCCCCCCAATGTTTGCAACGGGCAGAAACCAAGGTGCACTCAGCCAGTGACGATGGTGGCCGATGCCTGCCTTCGGGGTGTACCCCTAAACGTCCCGTGAGGGCGTCCCCTGCCTGGAGTTTTGGGGCTCCACAGCCAGGCAGCACTGAGTACTGCAGAACCGCAGTGTGGCCCCAGCTTTCAGGGACCCCCCCCCAGTCTGGGGAGCGGAGTTGGCCCAAACACAGAAAAGCGGCCAGGGACCCAAAGTGATAAAGGAATTAAGGGTTTGTTTGAATTAAGTCCTGGGTGTGGGCTTGGGATGGTTAAAGGGCAGAAAAATAGTTTCCCAGCGTTTCCCCCGAAACATACATTATTTGTATAAAGTAAAGTGGGGAGGGGGGGCGTTGAGTCTCAAAGCTCCTGCAGGACCTCTGAGGCTTTTGATGATGTTTGTCACAGGCCGCCATGGCATCAGATGAAGGCAAGCTTTTCGTCGGAGGGCTGAGTTTTGACACCAACGAGCAGTCACTGGAGCAGGTCTTCTCAAAATATGGACAGATCTCAGAAGGTGAGGCTGGTGCCAGACTGGTGGCTGAGTGGGGTTGCTCACGGGGAGGGCTGGGTGCTGACCGCGGACCTCTCCCCTGCACAGTGGTGGTCGTGAAGGACAGGGAGACCCAGCGATCGAGGGGCTTTGGGTTTGTCACCTTTGAGAACATCGACGATGCCAAGGACGCCATGATGGCCATGAACGGGAAGGTGAGGGCCGGCTGCTCTGGGGTTCAGTGGGTCCGGGCTGTAGACCGAGGGCGGGAGGTGCAGAGGCTAACTGTGTCCACTTCTGGTCTCCAGTCTGTGGATGGGCGGCAGATCCGGGTCGACCAGGCTGGCAAATCGTCTGATAACCGATCCCGCGGGTACCGAGGTGGCTCTGTCGGGGGCCGGGGCTTCTTCCGCGGGGGCCGAGGTCGGGGCCGTGGGTTCTCCAGAGGTGAGTGCCACTTGCAGGGACAAGGTGGGGGCACTGCTGCGGAAGCTGACACTCACTTCTCCTTCCCGTCCCGTCTGTAGGAGGAGGGGACCGCGGCTACGGGGGGAGCCGGTTCGAGTCCAGGAGTGGGGGCTATGGAGGCTCCAGAGACTACTACAGCAGGTACGGGCGGTGGTCCTGCGCAGGGGGGCCTGGGAGGCTCTGTGGGGACGCTGGCACGGGGACTGGTGAGAGTCCCCCGAGGTGGCCCCCAGCGCTCACCTGTGTCCTTCCTGCAGCCGGAGTCAGAGTGGCAGCTGCGGTGACCGGAGCTCGGGCGGGTCCTACAGAGACAGCTACGACAGTTACGGTAAGCGGCGCTCCAAGGGCCTGTGGTGGGAGCTCAGTGAGCCTCGGTGCCCTCTGGGCAGTGCTCAGACCCGGTCACTATGTTTGCCCCGTAAGGGACGAGACTGTCCTCTTGGGTCTCGGTGCCAGCAGCCACTTCTGCCACAGAACGTAAAGGCAAAACCAGGCTGACCAAGGAGGAAAGGGAGAGCGAGGGCCCACCGAGCAGAGCAGGCCGCATCCGTGCATGTGGGCCGTGCCCGCCACCCTCGGCCATGGGGGGGGTTGGTCGCTCCCGAGCCCCCAGGGCTGAGCCCCCAGGTTTGGGCCGGGAGTGGAATGCTGCCTCTCGTCGCGTGCTTCAGCGCCTTTACACTGTGCCTGCTTCTTGTTCTCAGCTACACACAACGAGTAAAAATCCTTCCTGCTCGAGATCGTCCTTCCAATGGCCGTATATTTAAAGATTTTGGGAGCTCCGCTGAATCGTTAATGTGTAGTGATCACACCTCCTTGTACCCACTTTTGTAGTCTTATTGGTTCTGATCTTGTCAAACACAGCCTGACTGCTTCTGGCCCCCAGATGGCCTCGTTACTACACTTTGCATTTTAAGGAAGCGCTGTCCGTTTTTAAGAGTCTTAAAAACGTTTTGAAGAGCACTTCCAGTTTTACTTTCACCTTTTTACCGTGAGCCAAGAGTTCTTTTTTTAGAAAATCACCAGGGGTTGTGAGAGTTTTGTTTTTTTGTTTTCGGTTGTGTTGCTTTTTTTCTTTTTCTTTTCAGTGGGGTTGGCCCCATGAATTTGGGTGCCCCGAGTCACTTCTCTTTGAGATTGAACAGACTCTGAATCTGCTCTTTGTCGGAAGCTGAGCAAGTTGTAGCTTTTTTCCAACTCGGTGTCACGTTTCTGAGTGTAGCGTGGTAGAACCGTGCGGGTGGCAGCAGAGCACCCGGGCTGCCCTGGCCCGGCCCGGGCGCCCACCTGTCGTGTGGGACCCACAGTAGACTTGCAGACATCCCCGAGAGGTTCTTGAAAATGTGTATTTATATTGTCCTTTTTTGCCGGAAGACGTACGCATGTCCCGTCAATGTTGTATCTGAAGTGGTGAAGGAATTCTTGTACGCAGTTTTCTTTGGCTTCACGAAGCCGATTAAAAGACCATCTGAATGAACCTCGCTCTGACCATCTCCCTTTGATTGCACCACACGCGCCCTGCAGGGGCTCGAGGCAGGCAGACCTGAGCGGAGAGGGCAGCTAGAGGACTAGGTCCGCAGTCCCGCCCGAGGCTGCCACAGCTAGAGGAGAAAGGCAGGGTCAGTGACGCTGGCTGGGCCCCTGTGACAGCCAACGACCACCGGCCCCAGTTAGGCGAGCAGGTGGGTGACGGGAGCGGGCTCTCGGACCGCAGGGCAGCCCCGGAGCGCTTCTGGCCGTGGCAGCCAGAAGGCTCGATGGGGCGGGCAGCCCAGCAGGGACGGTGGACACGCGGGCGCCCGACGCTGACCCTGAACTCCTTAGTCTAGAAGCAGGCCAGAGAGCAGACACAGGCAGGGTCCCCGGGTGACCCCAGACTGACCGGCTCATTAGCTAGCTCTGCTGTTGCTTTACAAGTTCTGAGCGTTCTCTGCTAGCCTATGGAAGCTGCAGCCCCTCGGAGGACAGAAGTGTTGTGCGCCCAACAGAAAGCTCTGAGACGCAAGCTGCTCCCTGGGCTAGCTCATATGTGGAGATAGTCCTGTAATTCGAGGTAACTCCTTTTGCTCGTCCGCATCCCTCCTCTTGTTGAGAGCTCATTTGAAAGTAAAGTCGTGTACCCGGGGAATGTTCCTTTGACTTTTTTGCTTTTTCTTTTTCCTTTTAAAAAAAAAAAAAAAAATCAAGCTAGAACTAAAGGCAGACCCCGGCCGTTTGCCCTTCCCCGCCTGCAGCCAGGCGAGCGGCCCGGGCAGTTGAGCAGGATTGGAGACCACCAAACGCCCCGCCTTTTGGAATTTTTTGTTCATCAATTGACTGTCTTTTGCAGACCTCTTTGAGTCACACTCCTAACTAGCTCTCTCTGATGTCTGTTGCTGCCATGAGTTTTTGCTCAGAGCCCGCGCCGATCTCTAAGCAGCTGCATCCCAAGTGGGTAGCTGGCTCTGCTTAAGAGCACAGAGTGGCCTGGCCCGTCTGAAAGGCGCAGGCCCGCCCTGGGCACGCTGGCCCGTGGCGGGGCCTCTTGGGTTGGCCCCGGTGACTAGCTGAGACCCTCCTAGGAGCTGTGGATGGTTTCGCGGGAGTCGGGGAGGGGCGGCTGTGAGCTCAGCCAGGGTGTCAGGGTTAACACTCCTTTGCTTTGGCAGGTTGAATGGAAGCCAGTGCGACCCGGAAGGGTGACCCGAGAGCAACAACGACCTGGGGTCACTGCCCCAGGAGGAACTTCACCCGGGAGCAAGAGCCAGCGGCACAGCTGCCTGCCCTTGCAGCCCGTCACCTGTAAGTGCTTCTCGGCGGGGGAGACATGTGGCCCTGTGGCCCTGGCCCTTGTGGTGGGTTCTCCCCCGTCCTGGCTGTGTGACCTCTGTCGGGGACAGCGTCTTCATCTCCTGCTGGAGCAGCCCTCGTGTCCCCCTCTCACCTCTCCCGTTTTTCCAGCAGGTGCTTCACTGGCGAGGTTGGGGTGCGGGGCTTCAAGGTGCTCCAGGAGGATGGGCGTGTGGTGCTGGCACGGCGGCCAGTCCTCACTCGCGATGTGACAAGACAAATGTGGAAGGTGCATTTGAATAAAGGGATGGTGTGTACACCCACAAATCTGAGTCTGGTGTGGGGTGCGTCGTGGAGGGCGGACACTGAGCTTCAGCCTGAGTCCTGGCTGGAGGGGCTGTGGCGGGGAGTCCGCTAGAGATAGCCTCCTCTTGGGGCCTTCGTTCTGGCCACGAGCTGGATCCAGACGCGGAAGGCCAGGCGGCAGTTCATTGCCCCCCCCCCCGGGGCAGTTCTCTCGGGCAGAGGGAGCCGTGGAGGAGGTGGTCCCTTGGCGGCGCGTCCCCCGGAGCCAGGCAGAGGCCTTGTCAGAGTAACCCCGGGCACCTTCAGCTTGTCCGCCCCCGGAGCCGGCCTGCCTTCCCAGGCTGTTTGCCTCCAGGCCTGGTCTTGGGGTGCAGAACGTTGGGGCTGAGCCCCGGTTCTAGCTGCCTTGGGCTCTGGGCGAGTTACCTTAAGTCTCAGCAGGGTGAGGTCCGGGTCACCGGTACTCCCCCCTTCTCCCACGGGGTGTGTCTGGTCCCTCCTGGCCCCCGCCAAAGGCGGGATGCCCAGGCTCACAGCCGGGACAGGTCTCCCCTCCTGCAGGGCCAGGGACAGCGGGCCACCGTGCTGGTGTCACCGAAGCCCAGGGCGACTGGGGGCGGGGACGCGAGAGTTCCAGGGCCCAAGTGGGAGGGAGGCCCGCAGGGCACGGTCGCGCCTGTCCCCTCACCGTAGTCCCCCTGCGGGGCGGCCGCGGTGCTCACGCTCTGGGCCGGGGACACAGAACTGCGGCTCCGAGCCTTCGGGGGCGGGGTGCTCGCGGAGCCAGCGGGGCGCGGGGTACTTCCCCGCTTCGGGTGAAGCGAGGTGAGAGGCCGGGGGCGGTGGCGGCCCGGGCCTTTCCGGGAGCCAGGCCCCGCCCCCGCGAGCCATTGGCTGGCCCCGCCCCCGCGCCAGTGAGTGACTGCTCCTCGCGGGGGCGGGGCGCGGCTACCGCTTCCGCCGGGCTATGGGGCTGCGTGTGCTGCCGCCGCGGCTCCTGCTGCTGTCGGCGCTGCTGCTGCAGGTGCAGCTGTTCGGAGCCGCGGACCCCACGCCCCCGTCACTGCGCCGCGCGCAGGCCACGCTCTTGCCGCATCCCGCCGTGACGAACGGGAGCCAGCCGGGCGCGCCGCACAACACCACACGCCCTTGGCCGCTGGGCTCGCCGGACTCGCCGCTTCTGCGTTCCCTCTACGTGGTTACGGGCCTCATCGTCCTAGCCGTGCTCTACTTCCTCATCCGGGCATTCAGGTGCGTCAGGCGCACGCCGCCGCCGCTGCCCTGGCGCGGCCAATGGGCGCGCGTCTCGCGCCCCAAGTGCTGCGGCGCGAAAGCCCCGCCTCTCCGGCGCGGTTCGCCATCGTCACGTGGGTGGGGACGTGGGTGGTGAGTGGGTGGTGAGTGGGTGGTGAGTGGGTGGGGTCATGCAATCACGTGACGAGCCGCTCCTTCGGGATGTTGGGGTTGGTTTTCTAGACGCAGCCACCGAGACTAGAGGTTGCGGGATGATGAGGGCACCGGGAATTCCCGGGATCCTCTGCGGCTCCCCCAACCTGGTGACGACGAGCGCAGCGCCCACTAACCCAACTTGCATCTGCCACGCGGGCCTGGCCGCATCCTTTCCTGTAGTTAACGCCCACAGCCTGACCAGGGCCCGGTGGGAGCCTGCCCCCGCACCTTGCTCCTCCTGTTTCTTCAGCCCAGAGCTGGCTGTGATCGTCAGTGTTTAGGTTCTGCCCACGCTCTCCCCAAGAGTTGAGGACCCCCTTGCCTTCCCCGCGGCATACGCCCTGCCTCCTGCAGGCCCGTGACCCCCTCCTCAGGCCCGTCCTCCCCGTTTGGCTTCCTCTCTGGGGCTGATCTCCAGAGGGCCTTTGTCACGCAGAGCTGATCATATCCAGATGCTCTGAAGGGGCCTTTTCTGTCTTGCATTGACACTGCTGTGGGTATACAATGTTCGTCTCCCATCTGAATACGTGCCACATCCACCACAGAGGGTCCCGTGCTTTCCCTGGTGGTGGTCAGGAGCCGGGCCTTCTGCCCGCGACAGCCTTCTACTTGATATCTTTGGCAAACTCTCTCTAAGGCTCAGTCGTCTCATTAGTAAAATGGAATTACAGCGCCCCCCTCCCAGGGGTCCTCGCCCAAGGGCCTACGCCCTGGGGGCCTGCCAAGGGAGATGTGCACAGCAACTCATAACGATTGTGACCATTATGAGAAGAAACGCAGTTGGAACCGGAAAGTTCACAGCAAGACTCTGGGAGTCGAGCAGACGAGCATTATCGGAGAAGGTGGGAAGCAGGGCAGGGTGTCAGCAGCTCCAGCGAAGGGCCATGAGAGGGCCGCTGAGCGAGCCTGGGTCTGCTTCCAGATTGAAAAAGCCGCAGCAGAGGAGGTACGGGCTCCTGGCCAACACCGAGGACCCCACCGAGATGGCATCGCTGGACAGCGACGAGGAGACGGTCTTTGAAACAAGGAACCTGAGATGGTAAGGCAGCCCTCCACACACTTTCAGGGGCTCCTTGGGTTGGGGGGTGGGGTCAGCAGGCCAGCGAGTTAGGAAGACTGTCGGCCGGTGAGGTCCTCAGTGCGGTCAGCACACAACAGTGGCCGGGCCTGGCTTTGCCGTCGCAGGCTGTGTGGCCTCGTCCCAGGGACGTCCATCTCCCAGCCTCAGTTTCCCATTTCTTTAAGATGGGAACGGGCTGCAGTGCTTGAGTCAGTGGGCACTTGCTCTGGGCCTGACCCCGAAAGCCAGAATCAGTGTCAGAGGTGGAGAATGAACTGCGAGGTGCTACCAAAGCCGGGGGGCGGGTCAGAGACGGCCTCTCCACGGCCCCAGCCAGGGGTAGAGCATCCCAGGCAGAGGCAATGGCAGAGACAAAGAAAGAGGGTTGACAACGGAGGTGACCCAGTGGCCACTGGGCTCAGGGCCACTGACAGGGCCTGAGCGGGGAGGGATGGCCTGTTTAACCCCAGCTTATCGGGGGCTCAGGCACCGAAGCTGAGAGACCACAGGACGATTCTGACTTTCCAAGCCCCCCGAGGGAGGTGTGAGTATGGCCTGGGAATCCCTCTGGTCCCGGCATCTCCTGGTTGGGGCACCCCTTTCCCCCAGGTAGGGAGTTGGCAGGGCCTGCAGGCTGGGGGTGGGGGCTGGGCATGTTAGAGGCACAGGCACAGTGGGGCGGGGGCGGGGCGGGGACGGGGCGGGCTCCCCACCCAACACTTCTCACCTCCTACCTCTTGTTTCCAGATGTACAGGTCGGGAAGGCAGCATTTCCAGCGGCCTTGTGGGAAGGACAAGAGACAGGGCCCCTCCCAGTGCTTGGAATGCCCTGCTGATTCTCCTGCCGCCAAAGAGCTTGTGTGGGGCCTGCCCGGCCTGCCAGGAGCCGCCCCAGCCCTGCCCCTGGACAAGACCGCCCAGGATACCGGCTGGAAGCCAGAGGGTCCCCGGCAGCAGCACGCAGAACTCTGAGGTCCCCTGGCCACATTGTGACTTGTGCCGATCACCCTTCCTGGTGGGGATGCGGCAGCCCCAAGCTGAGGCCTGGTAGGCGGGTGGGCTGGGGGGCCTGTCTGGGAGCACCATATCCCTGGGCTGAGGACAATAAAGGCAGCCAGTGGTTCTGTAGCTGGTACCCAGCTCCACAGTGGGCCAGACCCAGCGCTCTGGCTCACAGGTGGGGGGTGGGCAGCAGACCTGGGCTCCATGTGGGCCTTAGTTCTCCCACCTGTGACCATTTGGTCCCATCCTCAGGTGTCCAGAGGGTCCCGTGAAGAATCCCACAAAGGAGACAAAGAGATGGGGGAGAACTACTCCCACCTGCCTGGAAAAAGACCCTGCCAGTCATTGTTTTTGAGCCTAGGGAGAACTCCTATTCATCCAGCAAAGCTCCTGCTCAGGGCTCCCCTGTCCATAATGCCTTCAGCCTGGGGCCCCTAAGGGCCATGCTCTCTGCCTCACCACACTCACACCACTATTTTGGAGGTGTTTCCTAAGGAACCCCAGGCTGTAGTGTACGGGTCTGGAGCTTTGTGCAGCCCGAGGCTCCCTGTGCCCACCCTGCCTCTCCCCCATCAGCCTCTTGTGGAATCACTGATGAACCTGGTCCGCCATCCCAGGAAGCCTATTCTGGCACTCAGGCCTCCGTTCTGGCCATCTGAGATCCATCGTGGGTACCTGAGTCCCACTGGGGCACCTGACCCTCATCCCAGGCACCCCAGTCCCATGGGGGGTACCTCGGCCCCCATCCTGATCACCTCAGCCCCATCCCCGGAACTTGAACCCCTTTCAGGCACCATAATCCCCTTGGGGCAATCGACCCCCACCCTGGGCACCTAACCCTTTTCCCACCTGAGCCCCATTCTGGGCACCCGAGCCCCCCTGGGGTACCTGACTGCCCATCCTGGCCACCTGCGATCCATCCTGTGTACCTGAATCCCACTGGGGCAACTGACCCCCATCCTGGGCACCTGACCTCCTTTCCCACCTGAGCCCCATCCCGGGCACCTGCACCCCATTGGGGTGCCTCAATCCCCATCCTGGCCATCTGAGATCCATACTGGGCACCTGAGTCCCATCGGGGTACCTCAGTCCCCATCCCTGGTGAGGGGCTTGATGAGTTCCTCTGTGGGCCTTGTTTCTAGGCGGAGTCCAGCTCTGGCCTGTTCCCCGCCCCCCCCCCTCCCGCACCCTGTCATTGTGGTCCTGGAGAGTGGGAGAGGTGGGGCTGGCCTGTGGCTGCCCACAGCCTGAGGTCTCCCCGGGCCGCTGGCCGGAGGCACCGAGGCCGTGTCGTTAGCAGAAGCTGTCATTAGGAGGAGCTGCCACCAGGTGGCAGCCTTGTGCTGCCCGGCCTCTACCATGCTGCCCTGTCGTCTTGGGGTGGCCTGAGGCAAACCGTTGTACAGGTGGGGAAGTACTTCGAAGTCGGGGGCCCTGTTTCGCACGCCTTCTCGACCCCACCTTGTTGCCATGGCCACCATGGGATGGTCCCAGCCTGCTGCCCACTCAAGACCCATCAGCCCCTGTGGCCCGTCTACCTTGCAGTCCTGCTGATCTTCCTGGCCCGGCCTGAGCCCGGGTTCCTGCGGAAGAGCTGTCATGGTCAGCTGGCCACCCCTCTCTCCAGCCGGGGTCCTCTGCCTTGGCCCCCAGTTGGCTTCCTTGGGCATCTCTGTTGGCAGCCCCCGACCCTGCTCCAAGTCTGCTCACACTTCCTCTCCCCGCTCTGGTGCCCAGCTGCCGCCTCCAGGAAGTCCTCACTGCCCCTGCCACCCCCATTCTTTGGGAGGGTCCTGTACGGAGTGGCGAGCCGGTCCCCAGAAGCCAGGGAGAGTTGAGGAAGTGAGGCCATAGTCCCTGGGAGGCCCTGAGATGTCATGCCCGCTGACCCCCGGGCTCTGGCCGCCCTTTCTCCCCACCTGTTCCCCCTGTGGGTCTCTCTCTATGCATCTCTGTCTTTTTGTCTCTGCGTCTCTGTCTTTGAACCTCTGCTCGTCTCCCTGTTGGTGTCTCTCTCCATCTGCACCGCCTCTCACTCAGCCTCCCTGGGTTTCCGTCTGTCCCTCTCTGTCACTCTGTCTCTCTCCGTGTCTGACCCGCTGGGACACAATTTTTTTTTTTTTTGGGACACGCTTTTAACAGGCGCTCAGACACCGTCCGCGGCCCGCCCCCAGCCCCCCACCCCGTGATCTGCGCCCCTTTCCCACAGCTCTGAGCGATTTCTCGAGCTTCAAAAGGCACATTAATTACTATAATGAGGTCAGGAGAGACCCGGCGCTCTGCCATCCGGAGGCGGGAACACACCGCGTGCCCCCGCAGCCCCGCGCCTCCTGCCCGCCCCCTTCGGGTGGGGGGGGAGCCCCGCCCGCTTCCCGGCCCCTGCGCCTGTCAGCGCCGTCCGCGCGCGCACCGCGCCCCCGGCGTTAGTGCCGAGTAATTGGCAGCCCCCGCCAAGGTTAATGCACTATTAGCGGGAAGTTCTCTGCGGCTAAGAGCCGGGAGAGGGGGCCTGTCAGCGCGAGATGAAAGGCCCCCGGGCCCGGATGGTTGGAGGGCCGCGTGTGCGTGTGCATGCCGGCTCGGGAGGCCTTCCAGCACCTTCTCCGCACTCACACACGGGCACAGGCATGACACGGCTGCGAGGACAGGCGACACGGCTGCCAGGCGTGCGGGACGGACACAGGGCACAAGTCCACACGCGCGCACACACGGGTGTCGCCCGCAGCGGGTCCCAAGCCCGCGCCGGGTGAGGGCGCGCAGACCAACAGCCCGGCGCCCTCGAGGCCCCTCCCACCACCTCCATCCCCCAGCCCCCACCCTGGGAGTGCCCACTGGACACGCAACAAAGCAGCCCCCTCGGCCCGGGGGCCACGTTGGGGTCTCTGGCTCCCGGGAGGGTCGCTGTGCGGCTAGACGGCCTCGCCCCCAACCTCGGTTCTCCGTCTGGGGACTGGGGCCGGGAGGGGGCGGGGAAGCTGGTCAAGGCCAGGCGTCTTCCCTGTAGGTGGGAGCCCCTCTGCTGGTTCTGACGTGCTCTCCCTCGGACGTGGCCCCCGCTCCCCTGGGGTCAGCAGGCGAGGGAGTTGTGCCCTCCCTGGGGTTCCCAGGACCCCTCCCCTGATCCCCCATCCTACCCGGGGGCTCAGCCCCGCCCACGTCTCCTCTCTGCGCTGTCTGAGCCGCCACCTCCCTTCTCCACGCAGGCCTTGATGTCCTGGTCCCGGACAAGAGTGGCGGTCCAGGTGCCCACTCGGGCACGGCTCCACCCAGAGCTGTGCCACAAGTATGGTGACCATGACTAGCTATTTATATCTACGTTAATTAAACGTAGGTGAAGTCTAAAGTCCTGTTCCTCAATCGCACTGACCACATTTCATGTGCCCAGTAGCCATGTGGAGCTGCTGGTGGTGCCTGTGTTGGACTTGTCCATCCTTGTGGGAAGTTCTTTTGGACAGCGGTGGTCTAGCCCCCAGACTGTCAGGTGACCACTGGGAGGAGGGGGTCTGTGTCCAGGGCCCTGGGACTGGGAGGGGGAGGAGGGTGGAGAGGAGGGAGGGGAGGGGGGAGGAGGGGGGGAATAGCTGGGATGACGCCTGCTTGGTCCGGCGCTGGCCTGGCTGTGGAGCTTGCAGGAATCTGAGGTCCGGGCTGAGGTTTCAAGGGCCTGACTGGACACTGGACACGAGGGTGGGAATTTTAATTTACCAGCAAGAGAAAGGGACAGGTTAGTTTGTTTATGCTCAGTCACAGCCTGGAGAACTCTCCTTGAGACCCGCTCTGAACTGGTTCAGTGAAGCCCCAGACCCGCCAAGGCCCCCCGCCCTCCCCTGCGACCCCATCCCGCCTCTTGGAAAGCGCTCGAGCCGGAGTGGGCGGTGGACTGGGTCCAATATTTTCTGTAATGAGAAATTTTTGCCCGCATATTTTTAGCTTTCTCCAAAGCGCTGTGGCCTTTGAAGGTTGAGGGGGCAGTGGTCGCTGATGCCAAGCCCTGGGAATTCACCCTATGGGCTGGGACGACAGGTAATGGGTGGTGGGCACTGGGCCAGGGGTCAGTGGGCAGAGGGTGATGGGTATTGTGTGATGTGTTGGAGCTTGTGGGCGGTGGGTGACCAGTGGTGGGTCAGGAGCCAGTGGGGGTGGGCAGGGGACAGTGGGTAGGGGTGATCAGTCAGGGTTGGTGGGCGGTGGGCAGTGGGTGCTGGAGCAGGGGTGCTGGGCACAGACTAGGGGCAGGTCTGGGCCTGGCTCGGACAAAACCCTCCCTGAGTCTGAGGTGGACCTTTGAGCCCAGGAGTGCAGACTGCAGTGGACGGGGACAGACCCCATCAAAAACCCTGCCCTGGGTCTGGGCCTGGGGCTGACAGTCGACTCTGAGTGACCCCTGACCCTGATTGGGCCTTGAACCTAAGACTGACCCCGGTCCCCAAAGTGAGCCTGACCACTGACCCTTGATTCCAGCAGAAGCTCACTCCAGAACGACCCCTGACCTTAGCTGACGCCCCCTGCCGGCAGAGCCTGGAGGCTGGGATGGCCACCCACTCTGGGAGGCGACAGAGCCTCTTGGGGGCCCACAGCGGGACCCATCGGGCAGGGGTCCGCGAGGGCAGCTGGGCAGCTGTTCCCACGCCCCCGTCCCCGCCTTGCCCGGGGCCGGACCGTGGAGCAGCTCTGCCCTCCCCTCCCCTCCTCGAGGGCCCCTCCTCCGGGAGCACGGCGGGCGCAGGGAGGTTGAATGGGGGACGTGCGCCTTTGTTCCTGTCCCTGCTCGGGCTCTGACCTTGAGAGAGAGACAAGAACAGAAGGAAAACGGAGCTTCTGCTCAAATCCGCTCGGCGGTGGCGGCGGCTCTCGCCTCGG